GTAGTTTTCAATAACCACGGTGGTTGTTTTTTGTATTTTCCATACTGATAGGTAGAAAACATCTGTTTTACTTTGATGACTTTGATCAGTGAAGTGAAATTTTAGAAAAAGATTTATTGAGTTGGGCATTGTGACATACAGCTATTATTCCAGCACTTGGGATGTGGAGGGCAGGATTAGCCCAGCCTAGACTATGTAAGACCCTGTCTAAAAACAATAAAACTAATAAAACAAATATCTAGCTTTTATTAAGATAAAATTCATGTAGTATGTAATTATTTTCTTATAAAGAAGTCAGACCAGTAGTTTTGTGTAACCATGGCCTCAGACAATTTGAGTCATTCTCATCATGCCAAAAGAAAACCCTATACCATTTGTCAGTCACTACTCTCCAGTTCTCTGCAATCCTTCTCCGTTCTAGCCAATCCTAGATCTATGTTCTTTTTCCTATTCATTCATGAACATAAAACATATGAAGTCATTTTGTGTGTGTGTGTGTGTGTGTGCGAGCGCGCGCGTGTGCGCCAGACTTCTTTCACTGAGTTAAGATTTTCAAACTTTATATTGTAGCCTGCATCATTTTTTAATGGTGAGAAAAATATTCCAGTTTGAAAATACCACATTTTATTCTTCCCTTGATTAACACTTGGGTTGCATGTGCTTCTGACTGTTATAAATAATACTCCTATGAACTTTTTTTTAATAACATGTTTTTGCATGAACATGTCCTTTTAATTATCTTTGATATGTGCCCAGGAGTGCACTTACCGAATAATGCACTGTTTATTCTGTTGAGAACTGCCATTTTCCCATCATCGTAGGTTTTTCCAGTTTCCCATGTACTCTTCTCCTCTACGGAAACTCTGCTGTTGTTTGGAATCTGTACTCTCTCATTTATAGACCTTGATGGGTTGAAAACTATACTCTGTGGCTTTGATTTCTATCCCCTACTTACCCTCCTAATGGTCTCTGGAACTCACTATGTAGATCAGGGTGAACTCAAACTCACAGAGATCCACCTACCACCTACCTCTGTTCACAAGTGCTAGGAGTAAAGATGGTCACCACTTCCCAATTTGGTTGGCATTTTTGTAAAGTTATTTTTGTGTTACTTTATTTTTCCTCTTTTTGTGTGTATGTCTGTGTGTGTGTGTGTGTGTGTGTGTGTGTGTATGTGTGTGTATATGCACTTTTTTAAAAATTTGAATTAGAAAAAAAAATCGTGTTTAAATGTCAATCCCAGTTCCCTCTCCCTCCCTTCCTGCCCTAGGTCATCCCCTTTCTGCTCCCCAGGGAGCCTTCTATGAGGGAATCTTCCAAGTCTGTCACATCATTTGGAGCAGGGCATAGGTGTTCCCCTGTGTGCACATGTTTTTATGTATGCGTTTGTGTGGGGTGTACCCGTGTTCACATATGTATGTATTTCTGTGCTCATGTCCATGGAAAACTGAGGCTGATATCTTTGAGCTCTCTCTGCTTTGTCCTTTTTGAGGCAGAGTCATTCAGTCATCAAATCCTAGCCTGTCGATATGGCTTGTAATTTTAGCCAGTTTGCACTGAGGGTCTCTTGTCTCTGCTTTCTGAGGAAAGAATTACAGTGAGCTGCTACAGCTGCCAGTACTTTAAATGTAGCGTGGTGTTTCCAGTGTCTTACTTTGCTGTTCAAGCTACTCTGGAACATTGTAACCCAGGCAGACCTTGACCTTACTGGAATCCTCTTGCCTCAGCCTGCTGAACACTGGGATTACAGATGTATGCCACTATGCTCAGATGAAGATGAAGAAGGATTTATTTCAATATTAGAAAGTACTCTCCCCCCAATTTAATCTACCCCCTTAAAAAACCTACTTTATCCCATGTGTGGCTAAGTTTTGAATTGTGGGGAACATAGGAATCAAAAGTCCTCCCACCCTCTGCTTGGACTCTCCTTTATTTTAAGCTACCATGTGCTTCCCAATTTTAAAAAGTCTGTAGATAGAGGCAAAAGAGATGGCTCAACACTGAAGAACACACACTTGCAGTTTAGTTCTCAGCTCCCACATGGCAGTGCACAACCTCTTGTAACTCCAGCTCCAAGGATCTAACACCCTCCTCTGGACTCCACAGGCATTGCATTTATGTGCACATAAGTAAAAGGAAAAAATTAGCTAGAATATTCTCAGTATGTGACAACATAGTTTCCCCTCTTTCTTTTTGGGACAGGGTTTTGCTATATTTCTGGCTGTCCTGGAACTTGTTCTGTAGACCAGGCCGTCCTTAAACTCACAAGACTTCTGCCAGTCTCTGCCTCTTGAGTGCTGGGATTAAAAGCATGTATCACCACACCCAGCTCCCCTTTATTTTTGAAAGATGAGTGTTTTAACTGTTTATGCGCGCTCGCGCGCGCGCACACACACACACACGTACTCACACTCTAGGATTGGAGCTAGATTGTTATGAGCAGTCATGTGGGTGCTAGGACTTAAACCCCCCTTTCCATCCTTTAGAAGAACGTGCGCTATTGACTGCCAGGCCATTTCATTAGTTGCACCACACCCCATTTTTAGGTATTTTTCAAATTTTTCTAAGCTATTGTGAAAATTGTATAAAATGTGAATTATTTTTTTAGAAACACTTAGTTTTTGCCATATTTTTTTAAAATTTTATTGTTTGTGTGGGTGCAGTTACATTCAGGTGTGTTCATGTTATCGTATGATGCATGTGTGGAGGTCAGAAGACAACTTTTGGAACTTGGTTCTCCTACCCAGGACGCTAGAATTTGAACTTAGGTACTTGTCCATAAGATAGATCTCTTCCCCCCCACAAAGAGCCTGCTTTGTGCTTTAAAGGGACAGTCCTGTCTCAGCACCTTTGCTTTATTCTTGGTACTTGTCTGGACAATATAGACTAGATGTGTAAGCTGAAAGAGACTCTGAAGAATGTTTCTGACTGATTCTAGGCCCACCTGAAGCCCTCTGTTGCTCATTAAATAAATGCCAATCTGGGAGAAGCAATTAAATCTACCCCTCAGTTCCTGGAAACTTTGTAAAAATTGAAACAGCCAGTGCTGGGAAGGTGGTTCAGTAAAGTACCTACATGTGTACTTGTGTTTAGGTCCCAAGGACCCACATCTTTAAAAAGCCATGTTTAGCCCCAGTCAGTCAGTGCTGATGGTACTGAGTATACAGGACCACCGCAGGAGCTCACTGGCCAGGCATTCTATCTGAAACCATGGCTTGGTTTCAGTGAAAAATGGTGTTTCATTAGATAAGGTGGAAAACAGCTATCTTCTATACACTATATACACATGTGAACACATATCCACTTCATATTTTTATAAGTGTTTCCTTCTAATTGTTAGTTTTTTTTTTTTTTTCCTAATTGGAACTGGAGAGATGAGTTGGATGTTAAGAGCACTTGTTACTCTTGCAGAGGATGCAGATTTGATTCCCGGCACCACACAGTAGTTCACAACTCGATGTACTCTTCTGACCTTTGTAGACACCAAGTATGCATACACGGTGCAGACATATGTGCAGGCAAGAAACTCACATGTAAAATAAATAAACCGAATTAAACTTTTTTTTTTTTTTTAAATGTTTGTGTATGTGGAGGAGGTAAGGACAACTTGTATGTTGGTTCTCTCTTCTCACCAGGTTGGTACTGTACCAACAAGTACCTTTACCAGTGAGCCATCCCAGCAGTTCCAATGATTCTTTAAAAAAAAAAAAAAAAAATACAGAAAGCTGGGCATTGGTTCTGTACACGTTTGATCCCAGCACTCAGAAGGCAGAGGCTTGCAAATCTCTGTGAGTTCTAGGGTAGTCTGGTCTACACTACAGAGCAAGTGCCAGGATAGGCTCCAAAGCTACAAAGAGAAACCCTGTCTTGAAAAACCAAAAATAAAATAAAATAGAGAAGATAAACTAGTGACTCACATTGGGGATATCAGAGTATTCAAAAAAAATCAGAAGTCTTTATATGTGGGTGGTACAGTGTATGTTATAGACATAAGATTTCTCTTTTTTGGTAAGAGTGTGTGTGTGTGTGTGTGTGAGAAGAGTATTTATAATTTTTTTTTTAAAAGACCATATAGGTCTCTTTTTTCCATTTTACCTATAGTTAAGAGTTATGCCTGCCAGGCAGACTTGTTTTAGACAGAAGAAAACAAATCAACTTAGTTTCTGTAGTTTGTAGCAGATTGCCAAATATTTTTTTGGGAAAAAATATTATGCATGGTGCACACACCTTAAATCGAAGCACTCAAGAGGCAGAGGATCTCTTGAGTTCAAGGTTAGCCTGGTCTACTGTGTGAGTTCCATGACAACCAAGGCTACACAGAGAAACCTGTCTCAAAAAATCAGAAAAAGAAAATGTTCTGAGAGGAAATTTTAATGAATGACAAAATATGTCTTTCTTAAGGAAGCATTAAAAACATACTAGATGTTGTGTTTCCTGTAAGTTTATCATGCCTTTTTAAAGGCAATGACCACAGTGAAATTAAACTGCATGTATTATCCTCTTGAGTGTGCTACAATGAAATGTAAACAATGCAGGGTGGCACAGAGACACCCCCACCAAACATTGGGCAGCTCTGATCCTTAGCCATGTGCAGTTCACCAGGGCAGTCTTTTTCATTAGGTTGAACCATATGAAATTGCCAACATTTTGCTTCTTGGGACCTAGGTAAGCAGCAGCATCCTGTGGATCAGCTGACACATGGCTTTCCACTGATTGTGCATCTGGTGGGATGGGTCACGTTTATGTGCTGCAGTTCAGAGCAGGTGCCATTTTTGTTGTTGTTGTCATTGGATGTTAATTGTATTCAAGTGAACTTGAATCAGCTTTACATCTGACTTAACGTGATTTTTGGGTTTGGGATCTTCTCAAAGTTTTTGGTGGATTTAAAGAAAACTCTCCCAGTTCTTTTGGCCATGTTGTTCATGAGCTTTTCTAATAATTAGGGTGAACCAAAACTCTAAAAACTTAATAAGATATTTTGTTATTTTGCTTTATTTTAGTCCCAGTTGCAAACATCAGTGGGAATTGTACCCACACAAGCAATTGCAACAGGCCCCACAGCAGACCCTGAAAAGCGCAAACTGATACAGCAGCAGCTGGTTCTACTGCTTCATGCCCACAAATGTCAGAGACGAGAGCAAGCTAATGGAGAAGTGCGGGCCTGCTCTCTCCCACACTGTCGAACCATGAAAAATGTTTTGAATCACATGACACATTGTCAGGCTGGGAAAGCCTGTCAAGGTAAGTGCCCTTTTCTGAACCTACTGGCTGTTGTTAGGATGCAGTTTCCCTTTATTTTCACCAGCTTTGGTGGTTGGAAGCCTGCATGGCAAAAGTGCTGGCCTTCTTTTGGTATGACCCAGAGTATATTGTTCCCATAGCCCCCACATCTGACAGTTAACTGTCCCTGAAAAGTTCACCTGCTGAGGAGGCAGGGGTTTCGGTGGTCTGATGCTCTGAGCTACTCCTGCATGAGGCTGTGCCCTGAATTTGTTCTTTTCTTCTTCCTTTCTCAAAGGACTTCTCTGTCACTTCTTGAGTACTCCTTGTTAATGTCTGTGTTGTGGTTATCTGGGACAGTAATACATACAGGCAGGCACACAACTTTCCTTGCACCCACAGCATCCGTCTTGTGGTTGTTTCATGGATTCAACTATCAGTAGCCCACTGCCTTTCTCCTCTCCCCTCTGTCTTGATGAGGCTGCTTTGATGACACCCAAGTCATCATCCCTAGAGAGGGGGATATCAGCCACATGCATCTTGTGCTCTCCTTTTTTTTTTCTTTTTTCTACTTATTTATCACCATGCACCTTAGTTTAACTGAAGGAAGTGTTTCCTGTTAACAGCTGCGCTTTCTTGTAATCTTTCTTCTCTTGCTTCTTGTGTTCATAAACCTTGGGGAAAATAGCTCTCTGGTTCTCCCTCTATCCAGGGTTGCCATTGTGAATCGCTGGAATAACCCTGATCATGATGGAAACACAGAACAGGGGAAGGTTAGACTTCAGAAAATGAAGACTGGAAATATTCAGGGTCTATTACTATCTCTGAGTACTTTACAAAGTCCCCTGGATTCCTTTCAGAATTTCTACAGACTTCTCATTGGTATCTCTGTGTTTCTTCAGTCTTAGGTGGTATCATCCTTAAGTATAATTTAATGTTTTTATTTTTAATAGTGTTGTTGTAGAACTCTGTTCTGCCTTTCATTGTAGGTGCTCAGTATCTCAGAGGTTGGTTGCTTTTGTTCTGTTTTGTGGGGCAGAACCTTAATCACCCATCATTCATAACATTGCTTCTATGGGAAGTTTTTGGCTGGAATTACTGACAGTCAACTTACAAACTTTTGGACAGCCTGTTTGTAAGTTAAGGACTGCCTGTATTGTATTATGGTTACACTTGTTACCATTTTTTTTTATGGAATCTGGCATTATAATTTAGGTGTAATTGAAGTGTGACGATTTGGATAGAAAAATAACATCTCGTTGTTTTTCTGGTCATAGTTGCCCATTGTGCATCTTCACGACAAATCATCTCTCATTGGAAGAACTGCACACGACATGACTGTCCTGTTTGCCTCCCTTTGAAAAATGCCAGTGACAAGCGAAACCAACAAAGTAAGTGAGCACGGGGGCAGAGAAGCTTGGAGATGAGAATAGAAACTGTTCTTAAGAGAACACTGAGAGTAGGTAGGTAGTGGGCAAGGGTCATCAGCACACCATGCTGGGTGAAGTAGGTGCAGCTGAGCTCAAAGGGTAGATGGGCTTCCAGTGAACTTTGTGATAGCCATGGCCATGCTGGGCTTTCATTAATCTCCACCAACCTGCACACATGCACTCGAAGGAGTGCAAAACAAAACAACAATGTCACTTTCATCAAATAGCTGTCAGGAAGATTTATTATTTTCTGACAAGTACTTAGTATGAAGATTTGAATGTCAGGTCACTTACAATGACAGTGACACTATAGGGGCAATAGAGGGGTACCTTTTTTGTGAAGACCCTTTTCGGTTGTATCATTGTTAAGAACGTGGTAAAGGTTTGCTTATGCAGTTTCCTTACCAGCTGGTGTAACAATATATTGAGCTTTAGACTGTGAATCTCAGCCTCATGGTTGGCATATCCTGCTCATCCCCATCATTTTGTTGTCTTCTGAATCATCTGTGTAGTCCTTGATGTGACCAGTTCTTTACTGGTTGCTCTTTACTGCATGTGGTCCTTGGGTCCCTGCTCTTTATGGACATCAGTGCATTTGGAAGTTTCAAGACTTTTTGCTGTCATTTCAGAGGATAAATTGTGGTCTTTGGATATGTTCCCCCTTTGGAAATCCATCCAGCAAATGCCCTTGTGTTCATGTCATCATCTAGTTGGAGGTATACCCTTCTCTAGTCATCTTTCAGGATGGCACAGTCTTTCTCATCTTTCACCATTTCTACTCCCTGACGTTCTAAGTGTTCCTCACTTAGAGCATCTTCTTGAACATCCTCACAGGTTCCCCTTCTTGGTGAACATGTCCTGCTTTGGGGCTGGCTGTAGACTGCACATCACTCTAAGAGTGCTATGGAGTGGGGTGCCATTGCTGTCTGCTTGCTCTCTTATGAATCCTACTTTCCTTCCTGTAAGCTGACTCACACTGCACAGCATGCGTCATTGAAAAAAAAGATTGGGCCGGTGGGGGGGGCGGTGAGGTGGGACTTATTAGCATCTTCCCCTGCTGAGGCACCATAATTAAGCTTCTTTGAATCAGTTAAATTGTTCTTTGGTGGGGTGGGTGTGAGTGTGGGCACTGACCACTGCTTGTAATACAGGTCAGAGAACAACCTTGGATGTTGGTTCTTAAACTTTGAGTTTGTTTTGAGACAAGGTCTCTGTTGTTTGTGTGTGCTCTGCAAGCTAGCTGACCTGTAAGAGTCTAGGTATTCTTCTTCTACCACTTTCCATTTTGCCATGAGAGCACTGGGATTCTATGTGTGTACATGGGCTCTGGGAATTTGAATGCAGGTCCTCACACTTGCATGACACATGCTTTTTAGCCACAGAGCCATCTTCCTAACTCTTGAATTTTTAATGCATAATTTTCTTTGACATCTCTTAGAAAATGAAGTTCTGGACCTCTGGGTCTTATCCTATATATTTAGAATAACATATAGTGAAATAAAGTTTGTTTTTCCTTCAGCTTACTGAAAACCTTCTCCTCTCTCACCCCCCCCCACTCCCACCCCCCTACTCCCCGGTAGTGGTGAAATTCCTTGTACTTTGGGGTTTGGGGTTGTCTCCCTTTAAAAAAAAAAAAAGACTCTGGATGTGCCAAAATTCATTGTTGAGTTTGTACTTCTATGATATTATTTCCACGAATAATGAGCTCAGATTTCATTCTTAACTTTTAATTTAGTGGTGTGAGTTGTATGGGCTCTTTTAAGCTGAATATGTACATACTGGTATGAAAATTATAAACCTTTGTCCTTTGTGATTTCCTCTTTTAAGAAATACTTAATGTGGTTTTTATTTAAGAAGGAGAGAAAAGAAATGTGTGGTTTGTTTTTCTTAACATCTTATAACTGTCTTAAGTGTGAAAATTGATTCATTGCATGCTTTCTCAAGTGGTAAACCACAGTGTTTTTTGCTAGTCATAACGGGAGTTTTTTCCAGGGGATTGATGATAAAAAGTTACAGGGAGACTTGAGATAGTCTCTGCACAAGACTTTGGTATTTTTAATGTGGGGGGCTGAAGGTACTTTGTAAAAAATTAATTGTTGTTTAAATTTTTATTTATTGTGTGTTTGTGTACCCATGTGTCTGCAGGTGCTTTTGATTATATATGAGCCTTCTGATACCAGAGGTCATCTGGTGTCTTCCTGTAATCTCATTCTCAATCTCTCTCTCTCTCTCTCTCTCTTCCTCTTCCTTGGTCTGTTTGTTTTGAGATAGTCTCTCATGAACCTGGATCTCACAGTTTTGGCTAGATTGATTATCCAGTGAGCCCATGGAATCTGTCTGTCTTTGCCTCTTCAGCATTGGGGTTACGGGGCAAACAGCACCACCACAGCTGGCTTTTTTTATGTGAATGTTGGAGATCTGAACTCAGCTCCTCATAATTGAGCAGCAAGCTCTTTCCTACTGAGCCATATCTCTAGCCCAAGTGCTTTTTAAATTATATTTCAATTTTAAGTGTAGTCTCTTGGCTCTATACTTGGAGGTGTGAGTGTATAGAATTGTTTGTTTCATGTCATCGGTGAGAATGTTTTAGCAATATCCTTTCTTCTTTAGAAAAATTGTATTCGGATTGGAGTTGGTGGCACAATCCTTTGATCCCAGCATTTGGGAGGCAGAGGCAGGCGGAGCTCTGTGTGTTCAAGGCCAGCCTGGTCTACAGAGCAAGTTCCAGGAGAGACTCCAAAGCAATGCACAGAAACCCTGTCTCAAAAAACCAAAAGGAAAAAAAAAAAAAAAAAAGGTGTTTGGATCCTAGTTTTGGAACTACAGAAAAAATGTGAACCCAGCCCTTTAGTAGCTTCAGGTTGAGTTCTAGAGACTGAAATATACATATTAAAATTAGTGTGGTTGGGCATTCGAGTATTCTGGAAGCTGAGGCAGGAGGAATATAAATTCTGGGCCATGTTAGACTATATTTTTTTTAGCCCATGCCCTCTCAGAAAAATAAACATTACCAAACATAAGAAAAAAATCCACCATTGTTGAGTTTATTTGTGCTTTCTTGATATTAATGCAATGATTAATGAGCTTTGGTTTCATTCTTAACTTTATTTTAGGGAAGTAACTTTTCTGAGTTTTCTTTGTGTGTGTGTGTTAACTGGTCAGTCATATTTTTAAAAACTGGTAATGGTCTCTCTTAATGGACCAAATATAAGCTTGAAATACTCTGTGTAGTTCTTATGGGGAGATTATGCTTAGACTACTTCATAGAGAAGAGTGGTGCTCATGGAACCCAGGATTAACAAAATTACAATGGGGGCCAGGGAGATGGCTCAATGGTTAAGAGCTTTGGCTGCTTTTCCAGAAGATCCAAGTTTAATCCGCAGCACCCACATAGCAGTTTACAACTGTAACTTCCGTCCCAGGGTATCTGACTCCCTGATACAGACATACATGCAGGCAATACATCAGTGCACACGAAATTAAAAAAACAAAACAACAAACAAACAAACAATGGAATAACATCCTCAATGGCAGTAATGACCCAGCACAGTATATAGCCTATCTGAGAATAAACCTTACTGGGTTGGTTTGAATAAGAATGGCCCCCATCAGCTCATGTATTTGAATGCTTAGTCAACAGAGATTAGCAATATTTGAAAGGATTAGGATGTGTGGCTTTGTTGGTGGTAGGTATGGCCTTATAGGAGGAAGTATGTGTCACTGGAGTGGGCTTTGAGGTTTGGAGCCAAGCCCAGTGTCTCTGCTGCCTGCAGATCTAATTCTTAGCTACTTTTGCATGTGTGCTACCATGCTCCTTGCCAGTAGCAAATCTCCAATTAAATTCTTTCTTTTTGGGGAGTACTTGTGGTCATGGTGTCTCTTCACAATAGAACAGTGACTTAAACACTGTGTAAGAGATACCAGCAGCTCAAGTGGGCTATGCAAACTTCTAATTACCATAAGGCTGTGCCAAGGCTCACTCTGTGGAGTTAGCACAAGGTATGTCAAAGCTCTACCTTCTGAACACATGACTTTGACAGATATTGACCTGTACCCTCTACTTGGTAGGTACACTTTCCGTATTCTCAAACTGCTATGATTTATGTCTCTACTGTCAGAATTTTGGAGAATTACCCAAGGCACTAACATGATGTTTCTTGAAATGAAACCCATATTGTTTGTTTTTGTACCTGTTTGATTTTCCTGTTTTACTATCAGAAATAGTTGACCAGTTATTAGAGCTTTTCAGTCATCAGTCCTGGCATCTGACTTCTAGTAGGATTCTGTGTGACATGTGCTCAAGTCCCCATGTTGGAACCCACGTCTCCTGTTACTCAGAGTTGACTAAGCAGACTAACCTTCCAGGTTGCTTGTTAAAAACTGTGGAAAGAAGCCCTATCTAGGCTTCTTGTATTAGTGCCCATATTTTTAACAAATTTCCCAGTACTTGTTGTGTACATTAAAATCTGGATTCTGGCTGCTTGGGATGCCTACTTGGGCCAGGTCTGTATCAGAACTGTAGGGAAGGATAAAGATATTCTCCAAGAAAGACCCTGTCTTCTCCTCCTGAACCCACAGGGATTTAGACCTGTGCTTCAGGACAGCCCCAGCCTTGGCCTGAGCTACTGAACAACAATCCACAGTGACTATGTGGCAGGAGAAGAGTAAACTCTGCCACTCAGCCTGCTTTGTACACCAAGCCTGTGGACAGGAGTAGGTGAAGAGTAGACCAAGTCTTACAGAGTGAGTGCCAACTTTCAGCGATGATTAGAAAGGATGAGGTGAACAAGATTTTCTCCGGTGCAGGTGTCAAGCTGTGGTTGGTGTGTGTTGGGTGATTATTAGATCTTTCTTGTTTTTTCCATCAGGTCAAAGCTCATGGAGTACATAGACTATGTGTTAACCACTGAATCATTTAAGTTGCTCCGATAAGCATTTTAGTTGTATAATTCAAAGAAAGGCTTTGTGAATGTTTCATATGTCAAAAAGTCATAAAATGTCAACTTTGTAAACTTTTATGATTTTACTTCTTACATGATCTAACTTTTGTACAAAAGAAAGAGCCTCTTAAAGATAAGAATAAATAGTGCGACAGAAAACTTATGTCATATAGAAAACTTACCAAATGGATGGATTGTGTGGGTAAATGGGTTAGACTTGAAGTGATTCAAGAAACAAACATTACAAGTTATGTGTTATTTTATCTGAAGTCCTTTAGGTTGAGTTCCTTATGTAAGCAGTGGTTTTTCCTTTTAATTTCCTGTGGTGGGACAGCCGTTCTACATACTACTTCCAGGCTTGGGTTGTGGTAGCTGATAGCTACATGAATCACATTTAGGTCCTGAATATCAGGATACTAAGGTAACGCCTAGATATATTAAAGCTCATGTGGAATCTTGATGCCCCATTCCATCTGTTAATTTTAGCCAGATCAAGTATAGTACAGCCTAGCCTAGCATGGTGCTCTCCTAGACATGAAAGGTCTTAAAGGCTGCTAATTCTGTCATTACACAAGTGAGTTTAGAGATACGTCATTTTGTAATTTAGATCACATCATAGATTTACTAGATAAAAATTGGCCAACCAGGTCTCACCTTTGCTATTTTCAGTTTACAAGGTGAGCACCAAAAGATAGGTGGGGGCAACAGCTTGTAGGGAGACCCCCTTCCTTCACTTGAGAGGTAGCTGTTGAGTCATTCAGAATGACATACTTTGCCTTATCATAATTTTGGCACTCCTTGTAACTGACTCTTTCGGTGTCTCTAGATTTTAATATATACTATTTTTTACTAAGTGGTCTCTTCAATTTTTTTTTTTTTTTATGTTCTATTGCTTTTAAACATAGAAAGTGGATTTACTTTAGATTTTTGTTACTTAACTCTTGGTAGACAAAATAGATGAATTCAGCACTACTTATTTTCTTGCTAGTTTTAAAGCTTTACATACATTCCTAGTCTTTGAAAGACGTATTTGCCTCATGTTATTCACAGTTCTTTTGTGGGCCATCTCCCTTTTACTTACCTTCTTTGCTTGTCTGTCTGTTTGTTGTTCTAGCCATCCTGGGATCTCCAGCTAGTGGAATTCAAAACACAATTGGTTCTGTTGGCGCAGGGCAACAGAATGCCACTTCTTTAAGTAACCCAAATCCTATAGACCCCAGTTCCATGCAGCGGGCCTATGCTGCTCTAGGACTCCCCTACATGAACCAGCCCCAGACACAGCTGCAGCCTCAGGTTCCTGGCCAGCAACCAGCGCAGCCTCCAGCCCACCAGCAGATGAGGACTCTCAATGCTCTAGGTAAGTCAAGGAGTGCTCAAGAACTTTCTCCAGATCCAATGTAAAGATGACAATGCTTGCTGGAACCCAATTTCTTCAGTTGGTGTTTTGACTTCAGATTCATTGCTTTGGATTAACAATTTTCTAGAGAAAACCTAAGATGTATTTTTGCCGGAAAGATGCTACAAGATTGTAAAAAAAGAACTACATTTTCTGGGTATACCACTTTGTCTTGACAATTTATGAAGGTCATCCTTGTGGCTCAGAATGGAGAATCTCACCTGGGCAGACTCTAAAGTACACCACTTATTTGTTTAAGGACTATAGAGAGTCCTGCCATGTCTTTTTGTTTGTCGTTCTTCCATCATTGAAAAATACCATGTAGAATCAGGCTGGAAGCTGTCATCACCTGTTGTTGGATAGATCAGTATTTCACTCTGGTCACCCTAGCCCATCATTTGTCAGCTTTACACATTTGTTTATAATCACATTTTTTGTTAAGCCCTGGTTTAGTTTTTTTGAACATGTTCTTCTGTTCTTTTAACCACGGGTGTTTACAATAATGGGTAGTGCTGTCAATGAAGTTGTGATTGGTGGCACTAGTGAGTTATCAAAAATAAACAAGTAAATAATGACCAGTAAAGGGATAGGGAGGTAGCTCAGTGGTAGAGCACTTGTGTTTTAGTGTGCATGAAGCCCAAAGTTTGATATCCAGCAGTGCGGAGAGCAAGAGAATAGGGGGCGGAGACCAGACTAATTAAAATCACCTCTATGTTACTTTTTAGAAAAACTCCTAAACGATCATCAATTAATAATGGCAGGGAGAATGGGTTGAAACCCTAATACCCAAATTCTCTCTACTCCCCTTCTTTTTTATGGTATAATTTGGGGAATCCTATTAATCTTTCTCAGTTGCATCTTTTTCTTTAATATGAAGATTATAGGCAAACTGACTTTTTTTGTAATTTTCCTGTAAACTTAGATTTTCTAGGTTGTCTTTCTGATATGTAAGAACAACCCTCAACACACAGGTATGTGCCAGGAAGGTCAGTGTAGTTGTTGAGAATTTGATATTAATGAAATAGAAAAGTAGGGACTGCAAATGAACAGTGATCATTTTCTCCTAAGTAAATACTGTTAGGACACTAGCCAACCTCCAGACACATTTTATTTAAGTTGTCGAGTAAAAACGGGAAAAAGTTGACAGTGGAATTTTTTGAAGTTAGTCACCATGAACAAAAAATACAGTTTCCAGAGTCCTACTATATCTTGGTATCCTTCATATTTTTATAGTCACTTGCTTATCCATTATAGGAACTTGGAAGTGTGTATAGTGTAGGGATTGATTTCATCTTTACTTGTCTTTAAAGGAAACAACCCAATGAGTATTCCAGCAGGAGGAATAACAACAGATCAGCAACCACCAAACTTGATTTCAGAATCAGCTCTTCCAACATCCCTGGGGGCCACCAAGTAAGACTAAGGATTCCAATAGCTTGTATCTGAAGAACTAGAGGCTATTATAAGAACGGGTGGGATTTATACAAAACTCAGCATGTGGCAGAGAAATCACTGGGGAGGTGGGAATGAATGCTATTTTTTCCTTTTCTCTTTCTCTCTCTTTTTTTTTTAAAGATAGAGAAAGGGTGAGGGGTGGGAAGGAAAAGAGAGAGAAAGAGAAACTGGCCCACAAGAGCCAGAAGAGGGTGTTGTATTCCATGGAACTAGAGTGACCAGCAGTTGTGAGCCATAGATGTGGGTATGTGGGTGTTGGAAACTGAAGTCTGATCCTCTGAAGGAGAAACAAGTACTCTTAACAGCAGAGCCATCTCTCTAGCCTCTCTTCCTTTTAAAAATGATAAATATAAAACAACCAATTAAACAGTTTGAATTCTTGTTGACATACATTGTTTCTCTTAAACATTTTAAGTCTCATATTGTCAAAGAAGGTGGCGTGCATTTGATTGATTTACTTGAGTAGCTGGATGAAGCGTTCTTATTTCCCTCTCTAGTCCATTGATGAATGATGGCTCAAACTCTGGTAACATTGGAAGCCTTAGCACGATACCTACTGCAGCACCTCCTTCCAGCACTGGTGTTCGAAAAGGCTGGCATGAACATGTGACTCAGGACCTGCGGAGCCATCTAGTGCATAAACTGTATGTAACCCTCATCAATCAGAATCACATTTTGTGGCCGAGGTATTGTTGAATCATTGTGGGTGCATAGATATTTGATTTTTGTTTTTCGTTTGCATGTTGAATCCCAGTTTATAGCTGCAAAGGATCCATGCTTGTTTTCAGAAAGCCATCCCCACTGTTAAGAGACCTAAGAAGGCTGAGTTTCCCAAACTCTGAGCCCTATTGTATGTTGGCATCAGAGAGCATCATAGAGATGTGACCTGAAGCCTACCTATCTGTCCTCTTTGCCTTTGAGCTCAGGTGTGTTCGGTGACTTGGGATTAGTTATAGAGTTCCCTAAAACTTGGGGGGGGGAAATTTGGGTCTGGTGAATATGTATGGTATGGCCACCAATTTATTTTACATACAGAAAGTTAATGTTTCAAGTTTCCTCTCCTAAGTTGAAGAGAATCAACTATAGATTCTTTTTATTTTAATCTGTTTATAATGAATAATTTCAAAATGGAGATTTGGAATCATAGCTTTCATAAAATGATATAACATATTTGTGATTGATGTGTAGATTAAAGGTATTTCTCATGTTCATGTGCAAGGCAATGAGAGTTCTCCTGTGACCACCTTGAAAAGCAGGTTGATAGAGTATATTGTCCTTTCAGTGTCCAAGCCATCTTCCCAACTCCTGACCCTGCAGCTCTGAAGGATCGCCGCATGGAGAACCTGGTTGCCTATGCTAAGAAAGTGGAGGGGGACATGTATGAGTCTGCTAACAGCAGGGTAGGTTGTGAAGCAGTTGTTGAGTCTGTAGGTGGGAAATGATACTTGTCCAGTTAGTTACCCAGAATTAGGATAATCCGTGTGGTCTAGAAGACTCCTTACTTTGAGAACCTTGACCAGATATGTCCCAGTAAGGATGAGATTCCTGTATAGCCCTTTTGTGCAGCACAAGTGTCATAGGAGGACAGAGGATGCATAAAATAAGTGTATCCTTGGGTCATCTTTTCTTTAGAATTCTTCTATTATTGTCTGCATCAGTGAATACCCAAGAAAAACCTAAATTGTGCAGAAAAAAATAAATAACAGTATTTGTGATTTGGCATGTCTAGTAAAGTCACTAGTTCAATAAAGTTGTAATTAAAGGGTATGTTGACATGATTAGGAATATGGGGGTGGGGAATGGTTTTTGGTTTATTAGATGTGTTAAGCCTTTGTTAATGCACTTAAAATATGCTTAACAATATAGTGCCTGATTAGGCACTGAGTTTGATCCCCAGCAGCAAAATGTGAATGTGTGAATAAATAAATGAATGAATGAAAAGAGTTCATTTGCTAGTTAGAACATAAAAAATAAATGATTGGCTCTTAGTTTTTTCAGTTCCTTAACATTGAATATTATTGCTTTTCAGGATGAGTACTATCATTTATTAGCAGAGAAAATCTATAAAATACAAAAAGAACTAGAAGAAAAACGGAGGTCACGTTTACATAAGCAAGGCATCTTGGGTAACCAGCCAGCTTTGCCAGCTCCTGGGGCTCAGCCTCCTGTGATCCCACCAACCCAGTCTGTGAGACCTCCAAGTAAGGACTGTATTTCTTTTTACTAGCTCTTAGCCTGCCTGCTTAGTTTTCCTTCAGTCTTTGGGGTATATTTCTTAAGAATGTACAATTATGTTCTCCAAAAGTCTGTGCTTTGGAAGCTTTCTGTATGGCAGTGTCCTGTGAGGACATTGAGCCTTCCATGAAGAGATTGAACTTCCTTCATTAGAAGTTTTCTTTGTTTTGTTTTTGGTTTTCTTGTTTTTTTTTTTTTTTTTTTTCTTTCTTTCTTTCTTTCTTTCTTCCTTTCTTTTCTTTTCTCTTTTAAATTTGTTTGGTTGTATTTTGTTGTTGATGTTGTTGAGAGACAGGTTTGCCCTATGTAGCCATGACTGTCTTAGAACTCACTCTATAGACCAGGCTGGCCTCAAACTTTGAGATGCACCTACTTCTGCCTCTCGAGTGCTGGTATTAAAGTTTTGTGCCACTATTGCCTGTTATAGGAAGGCCTTTTAAAGGGTATGCTACCAAGTTTTTTTTTTTTTTTTTTTGTTTTGTTTTGTGTTTTTTAACTTAAATATAATCCCCCCTTTCAATTACTTAAAATTTTTTTCCTTATAGATGGGCCCCTGCCTCTACCTGTGAATCGCATGCAAGTTTCTCAAGGTATTTATTTATTGTCAACCATGTCAGAAATAAGATTTTTGGATGAGCACCCCCCCCCCCGCCCCTCAACACAAATATTTATATGCATATATATATTTAAGACAAAAAACAAACCAGAAAAAATGGGAGACACTATTAGGAGATTATATAAAAGAACCATATTTTAGGAAGGAAAATGCCTTTCTGTATATTCAGACTTGACAGTTGGTGTCAAGTACTTGGGGACTGAGAAGGTATAGTTCTGCTTCAGGCCATCAGGATTGAAGCTGGTGAGTAGTTTAGAAACACAGGAGGCTGTGTGCATAGCTCCATGCCTGGTGGGAGTAGTGACAGCTGCCTAAACCATTAAAGGCTCAATTCAAAATTCTGTGGTTTTTTAGAATGGATAGGGCTTCAGGGCTTGGGGGGACATTACTACCATTTTCAGGTAGTATAGGTGAATAGCAGGTTGTGAAATAAAATGGAAACATTATCCAAATGGTAAAGAAAGGTATTGCAGTTTGAAAGGGGACAGGTAAGTGATTTGAAGTTGTGATAGTATTACTGCACACTGAATCAGACACTGAATAAACTTGCCAAGAGCTTGCTTGGATGGATTGTATTTGAGGGGTAGAGGAATTCAGGTGGTTAAGAAATTGAGCCATAGCAGTGTAGCTAAATTATTATGGGTACATGGGCATTGATCTAGATAGGGAGTTACAGTTGAGTTGGAATCTGACAAGATAACAAGTTAGCTACAGATGATAAGAGACATTCTCTGGGTCAGTACTTGCCAGCCTTTCTTACTGGCAATATTAGTGCCTACAAATGTGGGCTTCTTTCTCAAGATCTGCATAAAATTGTCATGTTGAGAAGACTTTTATGTTATAAGCTCCCTGGGAAGTTCTCTTGTTAGAATTTGGCTATTTAAAGGTGGCAGTTTTGGATAGTCACTGGAAGTATAAGCAGATCCTCTCGTGGCTATAGCAGTGGTGAGCCAAGGTCTCTCAAAAACTTCCTCAAGGATTCTTTTACATTATAGTGTTGTGCAGAATAACTACTTGAACTGGGATTTATTTAGAGCTCAAAATTTGCATAGTTTATAGAAAGCTTCTATGTACTAGTCCCTGTGAGCTAAAGATACTTTCCAACAGAGCCTTTGTCATTGCTGTGGTGTTTCTGTAAACAAGTGGAGGCTGAGGGTAGCCCTTGGGCACATCCTAATGAAGCTACTTGCAAAACTGAGATGCTGTTTTGAATCTTAGTACAGATTCTAACAATAGTATCAATCTAGCCAAGAAGCTTGGAAGCCTGGAAAAATGTGAACCAATTGCTGCTAGGGTTAACTGGGGGTGCACTCCAGATTAGGAAATACCTCCTGTGTAGATGGGGCAACCTCATTCCTTCACAAGGTCTCCTTGTCTGCTCCATGCTTTATACAGAACCTATTCTCATGTCATCATCTACCCCTAGCCCTCCCGTTCTTCTCATTCACTGCTCCCATCAGCTATGGGAATGCCACTACCATCTGCTCTGATTTGCTTGTAGGTTTCTTTCCATTTTCTGTTACCCATGTGTTCTGTCTTAGTTAAAGTTTACTTGATGAATATTTTTTTTCCTTGTCTATGCTTTCATTAATAACTATCAAAACTTTGCAGGGATGAATTCATTTAATCCAATGACTCTGGGAAATGTCCAGTTACCACAAGCTCCAATGGGACCTCGTGCAGCCTCCCCCATGAATCACTCTGTCCAGATGAACAGCATGGCCTCAGTCCCAGGTGTAAGTGCTTCTCCTTTTAGTCCTTGCTTGAGCAGGGGTCTTCTATTGTCATCTGAGAATTCTAGGATGCTTATTCCTTTAATTTGAGCTGTGGTTTTTTGTTTGTTTGTTTGTTTGTTTGTTTGTTTGTTTGTTTTCCCTTTGTTTCTCTTAAATAAACAAGCAAACAGAACTGTTGCTGTAATGGCGATTATTTGATTATTTTTTATTAGAATAATAAATTTGTAGAAATTGATGTTAAAGGTGGAGCAGGAAGCCAACAGCTTATATTGTCAGTGTCTGTTGACTTGCATTTGCTCTCCTGAAATAGCCATCAACTGGTTAAACATATGATTGAATTCTGAATTATAGCATGCTCTTGGATGCCATTCAGAGGACTGTTCAATGTTGATTTAAGAAATTGCTGAAGAAAGTGTAGAAAAGTGCCTAGAATTGGGGGAGTCCTTGCCAAGTGCTGGCCCTTAAGACCAAAGTGTACTAGATGTGTAAGGGTTTGGGTCTCCATTGCACTTTATATCTTGAAGACTCTGGCCTGCTGCTTCTGTACTGTAGCACTCCTCGTTCTTGTCTTATAGATGGCCATTTCTCCTTCCCGAATGCCTCAGCCTCCGAACATGATGAGCACCCATGCCAACAACATGATGGCCCAGGCGCCCACTCAGAACCAGTTTCTGCCACAGAATCAGTTCCCATCATCCAGTGGGGCAATGAGTGTGAACAGTGTCAGTATGGGCCAGCCAGCAGCCCAGACAAGCGTTTCACAGGTACATTCAGTGTGGGAGCCTAGACAACCAGTATTTATCTAGCCCCAGCCTCTGTGACAAGAGTCTGTCTCACTTTATAAAGTTAGACTTTTAGAATATATATTTCTTCATTGTTCTCCACTTTATCCTGTGATTTTTAATTCTTCTGTTCCTTCTAGGAAAACTACACAAAAAGTAATACGATTGTGATTTTTTTTAATTATTTACTTTTTGCACAATGTTTTATGTTTTGATATTTGTGTATTTTGATTGCTATTTGTGTATTTTAGACATCTAAGATTAACATGTCACTCTGAGAAATGCTGGAACTTTAAGGATCTTGGGGGTTCCTAAGAAGACACAGAAATCCTGGCTGTAGTCTGCAAGGCTTCCTTGTCCCAGGGATAATGCTTGATCAAACCATGTTAGTCTGGAAGGAATCCACAGCTTTTTATTTTCAGTGGAAACAAAAATAGAAATCCTTTTGCCCAGTAACCTGTCCTTAGACTTAAATTTATATATAATTAATCCAGCAACATTTCCTTTAACAGTTGTTGTTTCCTCAGCAGTCAAACGATACAATGACAATATACCGTACAGTATCAAGATTTTCTCAGTACTTTCTATCTTTAGGTGGCTTTTTTATTACTCTATTTCTTCTATTTCTATTTTTTTATTTTTTATGACAGGGTTTCTCTGTGTAACTTTGGCTGCCCTGGAATTCACTCTGTATACCAGGTTTACTTTGAAATCACAGAGATCTGCTTGCTTCTGCCTCCCGAGTGCTGGAATTAAAAGGCATGTGCCACCACACCCAGCTACTCTCTTTTATTATTCTTTTTAAACCATTTTATCCTGTTTCTCTTTCTCTCCCAAGCCTGCGTATATTTTAAAACACACTGTCATTCCTGTAAATCTTTTATCTTTTTCTGTCCACGAGTCTTTATCTGGTAAGCAACAATGCTAAAATGAAAGCCATAGTTGTTTCAGCCACAGTCTATCAAAGATGGCAGCAGGCACCTTTACCGCCAGAACTGAGAGCTATGCTCACTGCCTTGGTCTACGCTGCCATCCAGCAGTATGCTGCCGGCTTGGAGATGTAACTGCCATTGCCAGATCACGTACACACAAATGAATTGTTAGCAGAGCTCTTTAAAAGCCTTGCAGTTTTTTGCCACTTATGCTATGTCAGGAAACCTCCCATAAAGGAGCCGCGCAGATCTCTGCTTGAGTCTAGCAAAACAAACCAAGAAAAATGCTGCTATCAAGAAGCCTTGCTTTTCTCTGTTTTTTGGTTTCTAAAGCCCTTTTTTAAGCTTCTTTTAAGTTTTAAATGGAAGTTTTTATTAGCCACGTTGCGGCGCCATATGTTAGGAGTAGGTTTTCCCCTGCCAGCCTGGGCTCACTACTGCGCCAGCCCCCAATAACACACAGAAATGCTTACAAGTAAGTTTTTTCTGCCAGCCCGCCTGGTCCCAGAGCCACGCCAGCCCCAAAATAATACACTGAGACATTGTATTAGATATAAAGCTTGCTCTTGCTGGCGGGACGCAGAGAGGAGAGCATCCTTGCTGGTGTTCATTGTCTAGGTTGTAAGTTATTTCTGCCTGAATACACACCTATTCGTCCTATTTGTTTATCCTGATCCTTATCAAACCACGATATCAGAGTATCAAATGTCAGGTACATGCAAAGTATTTAAAATAAGCCAAATCTTTCTCAAAATATAAAATACATGTTTATTTTTTTAAACAATGAATTAATGTTGAATGAGTTGTTGGAATATATTAGGTTTACTCCATAATGATTTTCTCTATCATATCATTTCTTTGGAACAGATCAGGAAGCTAACTCCCCTCCTTCCTGCAGTTTCCCCATGTAGTCTAGGCTGCAGTCTTCCTGTCTCAACCATATGCCACAGGGCCCAACAGTAAACCTTTTCTATACAAAGCCAGATAGTAAATATGTTTGTTTTCCTGGAGAATAGTTTTAGTCCTGACTATTTTGCTCTGCTTTTACAGTGGTGAAATAGTTATAGACAATATTTAAGTATATGGCTGGTTGTGGTTTGTCATCCTGTAAAACTGTTCTGAGTACGTAGGCCAAACTTCTCTTTGGAATGGTAATGTTGATTCATTTTTTGAAAGGTCAACAATTCTCAAGTGTCTCACCAGTGGAAAACCACTGAACTGACATTATACAGTGTCTCAACTCTCCCCACAAAGAAAAAAAGCAGCCCTTTTCAGTGGTCTAAGTTACAAGTAGATGTGACAAAAGATAAAGTCATAAAACTAAGTAAACGTGTCTAAACCATGAATATTGTAATCAGATGTTATAGTTGTACAACTTAAAGTATGAGAAGCAGTTTAGTGTGAGTGGACTTTTACATGGTACAGTGTTTAGTATAAATGTTTATTACTCTGTGAATTTATACAAATGGAGCATCCTCATGAAACTAGCAGAAGTAATAAGAAACTGATTAAAATTTCTTTTAAGTCTCTTATGTTTTCAATGGGGGTACAGTAATTTTAACATACTTTGTCTGTTTCTTTTAGGGCCAGGTGCCTGGTGGTGCTCTTTCTAACCCTCTGAACATGCTGGCACCCCAGGCCAGCCAGCTGCCCTGCCCACCAGTGACACAATCACCGTTGCACCCAACTCCACCTCCTGCTTCCACAGCTGCTGGCATGCCCTCTCTCCAACACCCAACACCACCTGGGATGACACCTCCCCAGCCAGCAGCTCCCACTCAGCCATCCACGCCTGTGTCATCTGGGCAGACCCCTACCCCAACGCCTGGCTCAGTGCCCAGTGCTGCCCAAACACAGAGTACCCCTACGGTCCAGGCAGCAGCACAAGCTCAGGTGACTCCACAGCCTCAAACCCCAGTGCAGCCACCATCTGTGGCTACCCCCCAGTCATCACAGCAACAGCCAACACCTGTGCACACTCAGCCTCCTGGCACGCCGGTGAGCCTCTTTCAGTCTGTCATTATCAAGCCAAACTCTTAAGGATACATTGCCATAAGACTTCCGTCAGGAACTTGGGACACAGAGGCAGTCAAATCTTTAAAAAGAAGTAGAAGAAATAGGGAGGGAGAGAGACAGAGATAACTGTGTCAGGATGCTGTAGCATTTTGCTCTAATGCCTCTCCCCTCTCCCTCTCCCTTTCCCTCTCTCTCGCTCCTTTCTAATGGAACTGCAAGGAGCTGTGATTTGGTCCTAATATTGGCCTTAAAGGCATGGTTAAAGTAGTTTACAGAAATTAATAATCATTAATATATCACAGCATGGATAGAACTATTATACTTTATGTACAACAATTATTTTCCCTATTTTCTGTCCAAGATTAATATCATCCAGGTTTTAGTAGTTTCTGTGCTTAGTTTTATATGTTTGGTAAAATGCCATGTTCCAAACTACAGGTCTGCCAATCTGGCTAATCAGATTTCTTTCAGACAGGAAATTTGTCTTATTCATAATGAAACAACAGAGTGAGGACTGTACCTTCTGTGGCTCTAAACATCCCATTCCTCTCTGTAAGTGGCATCGGAAGGATGGGAGATGTGTCCTGTATCATCCCAGGCCTACTGGCCATTGCCTAGCCAAGTGCCTTTCTAGAAATACAGAATCTTAGTATTCTTTTCTTAAGTCTTACCTATAGATCCCCTCCTCCCAGATTTACATTAATTCCATTCTTAGATATTCAGGATATTTGTAGAATGACAAAAATCAGTGACAGTTCCAAAGATGACATTATTTACTTTCTCATGCTTACTCTGACTCTGCATTTTATCTCTAAATAAATTATGTTTCCTGTTTTAGAATCAGGGCCTTGCAAACACTAGGCAAACACTGTTCTACTGACTGCATCCTATGCCCTCAAAAAAGGTTTCTTTTTAATCTTTTTATCTCCTTTATTAGCGTGTGTAGTACTTCATTGAGTAAAGTCTGTTACATGGCCATGGTGTTAGCTTACTTCACCACCATCACTGTTCTGCGATAACTAAGGCTCATTGGATACTCTGCCATTATTTCCCAGCCTCTTCATAACTACTTAGGTGTTTATAGTTTGCCTTTCCCCATAACCCTTAATGCTAGTGAAGGGAAGGAATGGTAAAATAATCCAGTAGAAAGCCAAGAGAAAATAATTTTATGTTAGAATTTAGAAAACTCTTCATCTAGCTCTGCATTCTTTGGTAAGGAGTAAATTGTGTTTGTATAGTGACTTCCTCTAGAGCTCTCTCTGGGAACTTCTGTCCTTTAGTGTTTCTATTAGGTGTTATGGCCGTATAGAGAAATACTAAACAGAAGATTTGGATTGGAAGGGCAGGAGCTGAAGGCCATTGATGTTGTCTGCTTTACAGCGATGAATGATTATGATTTCTTTGCAGCTTTCTCAGGCCACAGCCAGCATTGATAATAGGGTCCCCACTCCCTCCTCTGTGACCAGTGCTGAAACCAGTTCCCAGCAGCCAGGACCTGATGTACCCTTGCTGGAAATGAAGACAGAAGTCCAGACAGATGATGCTGAACCCGATCCTGGTGAATCCAAAGGGGAACCTCGGTCTGAGGTAAATATTGTTCCCCTACGGAAGTACATGGCTTATATGTGGTAGCTTTACCTACATATCCTTAGGACCTTCAAGATATTTGGATATCCTCCCCCCCCTCTAGTATTCTGCATTCATTTCTAGTTCTATAGAAAGGGAGGTCTATTATTCATTTACTAACTTATGACAGAAGTTGAAATCAGGGGCCAAGAGCTGAATCCAGCCTGTCTATTTGTGTTAATGTTTGGCCTGCACTCTTCGTTATTTTAAAACTTGAGATACCTATTTTCTCTTAAAAGACGAACAACTCTGTCATCAGTACACTTATACTTCTTTATGGATGCCAGTGTCTCACTTAATGTGGGATGTTGTGTCCCTCGGGTAGGACATATCTTTATCTCAGAGCATAGGATTTTCATCTTTGTTTTAGTTTTCTTGGATACCTTTGATTCCAAACTAGTTGTTAAGTAGAAGTATAACTGCAGCCGGTGCTGTATTCTGTTCCTTTCCCTAATGGGGAAAAAAAAGAATAGTAAATGTACCTTTAGCTAAGGGAACACTTAGCAAGCCTGTGTGTGCAAAGAGACTGGAGAGTAAAGCTGGTCAAAGTTACAGGGGTCTGACATTTATCTGTCTTCTGTGACTGTTTTCTCAAGATGATGGAAGAGGATTTACAAGGGTCTTCCCAAGTAAAAGAAGAAACAGACACAGCAGAGCAGAAGTCAGAACCAATGGAAGTTGAAGAAAAGAAACCTGAAGTAAAAGTGGAAGCTAAAGAGGAAGAAGAGAGCAGTGCTAATGGCCCAGCCTCACAGTCAACATCCCCTTCCCAGCCACGCAAAAAAAGTAAGTCACTTGTTCTGTGACTTAGGGACAAAGCTTGAAAGCTCAGATAAGAAAATGATTACAAATTCCCCTTTGTGTTCCTTGCCTTTCATTTTCTACGTTTTACTTCTGAGCATGGAGACAGCAAGGGCTAGAGAGTTTCAGTATGTAAGGGAGGCAAAAGTGGGGACCTGAGTTCGGATCCTATCACTTGGGTAAAAGCTGGCTATACATGTGCATCTGTAATCCAAGAGTTGTAGGAGGCAAAGACAGGAAGCAGGGCCTTGCCAGCCACCAGCCTAACTCCAGGTTCAGTAAGAGACTTCCTTCTTAAAGAAGTAAGGCAAGATACCAATTGTCCTCCTCCTGGCCTCCATGAATGCATGCAGAGGTGTGCACACTCCACACACTCAAGGACCATGTACGTGCCCCCATCCCGTATGTATGTATGTATGTATGTATGTATGTATGTATGTATGTATGTGTGTATGTGTGTATATATGTGTATATATACATACAGATACATATATATATACACACACACACACACAATAATAGACTGTGGGGGAGGCATCAGCCCTGAATTGTCTTCTGAGGTGAGATGATGTAGACAAGATAGGCAGAATTGAAATGCCTGTGGATCCTTGAGTACATTAAGGAGTGTAGGCTCTGCAAAGCCAGTTATAAAGAACTGATGAACAAAAATGTTCTCATTTGAAGCAAGTGATCACTGTCTGCATGTTTGTGGCTTCAGCATATATGTGTATGAATTAGAGATTTCTGCTGATGGAGGGGAGTAAGGGGCCATATGACTTGGCATGGAGTGGGAATATGAAGCTTTTCAGATGTATGAGGTTAGCTCAGGACAAGTAAAAATTGGGTGTGCTCCATTTAAGATGTGTCCACAGTAAGAAGCAATAGGTTGTTGGATGATTGTCAAGTGACCCTTGCTTAACATGGTGACCTGTACCTTGGAAGTTAACAGCATCAAGTTACAGGCACATTTGAGAAAGAGTGCAATGAATATTAACAACTGAGCCAGTAAAACTTCACAGTAGGAAAGAGCTTACTTCTTTTATAATTGAGAATTTGAGGGGGTTTTTGACTATTTGGACTAAATCTCCCAAATTAGGAAGTAGAGCATGTCCTGTCATGCAGGCCTTTTCTGTGAAATGCTAGGTAGTATTTCAGTCTTCATACATCATAAGGTCTCTGTTAAAACTAATCACCTCAAAGGCAGCAGCAAATGTTATACAATTAAATGTATTTGTATGTGTGTCCAAAAAAAAAAAAAAGCCTGAAGTGAGGATGTTAAGTTGAATTTCTGTGTTTACCTTTAACCTTTCATGTGAAAAAAAAATAATATGGTAAAATCCAGAATTTGAAAAGTTAGACTCTCCAAACAGAAGTGACAACAGATATATGCTGTGGCCCAACTGGTACTTTGTCTCATTATGCTTGATTGGTATGGCCTGGCTGGGAGATGACAGAGTTCCATTTGCACACCCTCCTCCCCTCCCAAGCCAAAAGCAAGTGCTAGGATTAAAGGCATTTGAAACCATAGCTAGCAAGATACAAAAACAAAACAAAATCCCACAAAGTTGCATCACTTATAACACCAGTCATCAGAAACTGTTTTGATATACTTTCTTCTGTTTTTTTTTTTTTTGTTTGTTTGTTTGTTTTGTTTTTTGTTTTTTGTTTTTTTTTTTTTTTTTTTTTTTTTTTGTTTGTTTGTTTGTTTGTTTTTGGTTTTTTTGGTGGAAGAAAATCCAAGGGTTATGACACATTGACCTGCACCCTAAGGACTAGAGTAGGGTATCTTACTTTCTTCTTAAGACTGTTCTATCTTGAATATATTTGACAGCCATTTTATTTATTTGTTTACTATTAGTTTTTTTTTGGGGGGGGCTGGCTGGTTACTTCTTTGAGACAGGGTCTTACTCCATAGCCCACACTGGCCTGGAACTCAAAGCAGTCAGTCCTCTTGCCTCACTCTCCTGAACACTGGAATTAAATGGCAGAAACATAATAGGCGGTGGGAATTGTGATGGCTGAGAGGTGAGAGTTGTGAACACTGACAAATGCTGGAGAAACTGTGGCACTTTCAGAAACTGCCTGCTTTTGTAGTTCAGTTATATTTTTACATTTGTACATGGGGGTGCAGTTGATAAATGTTTATTTCAAGTGAGTTGAATTTAAGTCAAGCACAGAAAAGCCTCACCTGAGAATTCATAAAAGGCCCCTGCAATGAAATGGCTTTATTTACTGCCCCGTTTAATCAGGGAAGCACAATTGGAAATTAACTTTGTTTCTATTTCAGCAATATTTGAAGATTGGGAATTTTTGTTGAAACAAACTTCTACATGCTGTATTTTGTTTCATGGTCTTGAGTGTCAGATTTAAAGGCCACTTTATAATCTTCAAAAACCCCAACTTAAACCTCTAGCTCAAGGATCTTACTATGGTGAATGTCAGAAAGAATTGTGGCTGGGAAGTAGAAGCCACTAGACATTTAGTTTGATTCTGGTGATAGATGTGTTTGAGCAACCATTATGTAATTTCTTTTCCTGACATTTTCTCCCTCTAGTCTTTAAGCCGGAGGAGCTACGCCAGGCACTCATGCCAACTCTAGAAGCACTCTACAGACAGGACCCAGAGTCTTTACCTTTTCGGCAACCTGTAGATCCCCAGCTCCTAGGAATCCCAGTAAGTTAATGTGAAAGATGGGGATAGAGCTTTCAGTATCTGTTGTTTCATCTCTTAAAACTGGTTATTACCTTGCTTTAAGGTTTTCCCCGGTATAAAAATTTGTACCTGTCAGCAGTTATTGGTTGAACAGAAGCATTTGTTGGAGCTCAAGCCCACTTGCTTTAGCACAGAACCCCTTTATATTTGAGGCTTTGTGTACAAGTTTATCTAAAAGAATTGGCTTAAAAAAGAAAGATGCCAATTATGTTATACATATATATCCCTATTTGATATCCTTGGGAGACTTGGAAAGGCCATGTCTTTTGAGGTTGGTATTTGTGTGTATCATTAAATTGCATTTTGTTTACATAAACCAAAGGGAATACACATTTTCTGATGCATTTTTTCACTAGTTTTATTTAGTAAATTAATATCCTCATTTGCATTAAAATTATTTTCTAATAATCCCTTGACTTTGCATTAATTTAATCACACAGTTAATTATCGCTTACCATATTAAGTGAGTCAAATCAGAAATATTTGGGATTATTTTCCTTTTACTTCCATTTCTTATTCTTGGGACCTGAATGTCTGATCCTTTTTATTGTTAAACTTAGGGGGATTCACTCACAGAGTTGACTTTTATTTTTTTAAGGATTATTTTGATATTGTAAAGAATCCTATGGACCTTTCTACCATCAAACGGAAGCTGGATACAGGACAGTACCAAGAACCTTGGCAGTATGTGGATGATGTCTGGCTTATGTTCAACAATGCTTGGCTATATAATCGAAAGACATCCCGGGTGTATAAATTTTGCAGTAAACTCGCAGAGGTCTTTGAGCAAGAAATTGATCCTGTTATGCAGTCTCTTGGATATTGCTGTGGACGAAAGGTATCTATTTGTGGGAAACAAACTTTTCTGGTTAATCTGGCCAAAGTGGTGTTAACACTAAGATTCTGACTATACACATGTGCTCAGGAGTATAGTGTAGTCTTTGTAACATGTGATGTCATGGTCAAAGTGAAAGGTACTCACTGGCAGGCATTTGTCACTGCTCTGTACTCATTGTATCTGCTGAAATACCTGAAACCAAAGCATTTTCAATTCTGTCATGCTAAGTCCAAAAGTGTCTTGAAATAGCTATGGACATTGTTAGAATTTTACCTTGTGTTCTAATTAGTAACTTAACAGCTTGGTGTGACTCCATAGCATGGTAGAATACTTGAGCGTGGTAATGGAATATATGTTTAGTATTTTCTCCTTGTTTTTGCAGTATGAGTTTTCCCCACAGACTTTGTGCTGTTATGGGAAGCAACTGTGTACAATTCCTCGTGATGCAGCCTACTACAGCTATCAGAATAGGTAAGCATCGTGCAGTTCCCTGTATTCCAGAGTAAAGGAAGATATTAAGACAAAAATTGTGCCTCTGATCATAGCCTGAGTGTGTTATATATTTCCTGAAAGTCCTATTAAAAGTACCGCAATTTCTGTGCCTTCCTGGTGGATCAGGTAACTCCTTGGTCTCCTGATTTTAAAACATAACATTTGCTGAACATGGTGGCACAGATCTTTAATCTCAGCAGTTGAAGGCAGAGGCAGGCAGGTCTCTGAGTTTGAGGCCAGCCTGGTCTATATATAAGTTGAGTTCTAGGACAGCCATGGTTATGTAGAGAGACACTGTTTCAAAACAAACAAACAAAAAGAAGCCACATTATATGTTTATAATAAAAAATCTTATTACCCTGAGTTGAGGCTGTAGCTAATAATAAATACCTGAAATACAACACTGTAGCCCATGATGTCGAAGTTGAGACTAACCTTGTAAAAACATGAATGACTTAAGATATTTAGAAAATAGAAAGTTGCATTTTATTCTACAGCAAATGTGTGTCTACATTATTTCTGGTAGACTTGTGAGGTTTTGTTTATTTTTGTTTTGTTTTTTTTAAAAAGAGCACAAGGGTACACTTTGCTAACACTGCAAGAAGAGGGCTGTTTTACTTTAATGAATTCAAAAATGGTTTTCCTGAGGCTGGTGGGAGCACATTGAGGCACTGCTGTTATGTTTCTATTTGTTTTAAAGAATATTTTGTTTGAGATACTATTGTCTTTAAGAATGGTAGTCCTACTTGGAAAATAGTTGCCATCCTTTTGGAATGTGAAGGTGGTTAGACTAGAATACCTCTTATACAGAGGGACAGTGAGATAATAATATGCAAATAACTTCTGCAGTTTGAGGCTCGTTTTGAAAATTAAATTCCTCATTGCTTGTCTGCTTTTTTCCTAAGATGAAGTAAAAGTTAATTTCCTTTTTGTCAGTTATGTTATGAGACCTTGAAGCTGTGACTTATGCTGAAGTCAGTAATGTTGACTACATTTTGTGAGCCAGCAACGAGATCCTCTGTGTGACCAACAAGGAGCTTTGTACTTGTTCCCTGTCTTAGGCCTGAATGTTTGCATCAGGGTTCGGTGCTTTGGATAGTTAGACCTTTTATTATTTGGTCCATAATAAAGTCAAAGGAGGGCTGTTGACTTGTTCAGGGGTACATTAACATAGGCCTGACAAATTTGGAATTTTGAATTTTTTGGTCTTAAGTACATTTTTTTAAAATTATACTTGTAATTTTAAAAGAAAATCTTCATGATCACTCCTATGCAAGTGCTATTTTTGCCATAAAAAGAACTTGATGGCTGACAAGATGGTGTTTGTGGTCAAGCTTGATGACCAGATATTGATCCCTGAGCCTACATGGTAAAAGAAGACTACTGACTCCTTCAAGTTGTCATCTGATCTCCATATGCATGAATGTGTACATAAATAAATAAAATTTTAAGTATTCAAACAGGAAGATCCCTAAGCCTTGTGTGACCAGTTTACTGTTCTTCAGCATGGCTTAGGGTCATCTCTAATAGAAGTGCAGCCTGAACAACCTGTCCTGCTGAAAACACTCCCCCTCTTAAATAAGAAAGGATTTGTGGGGGTAGTGGTTGTCAAGGTGTTTTGTGATCTGTGATGTTGTTTGCTGTTGTTACTGCTATGGATAGAATCCTGGGCATTGCTCATGCTATGTCTGTCACTCTTGCCCTTTCAGTAGAAACACTGTGACACAAAATTAAAAGGATACTATAACCCCTTATAATGGGATCCGTGCAGGAGTTGTCCCCTCCATTTATTCTTTTAGCCCGTTGACTCTTAGCACATCTCATTGTGTGCCAAACTTAACCTTGCCCAAGGTACAGGCACAATAGGATCTTCCCTAACAGGCTCTTGTCCTGACTTGAATGGAATAATGCATAGGAATGTACTTTGAATGCCACTGTGATCTATATAAAGTTGTAAGTTTCTTTATTTGGCTGGTTGGTTTTGGTTTGGTTTTTGGTTGGTAGTTTTTTTTTTTTTTTTTTTTTTTTTTTTGAGACTGTAGCTCAGCATGGCTTCAAACTTGATCTGCTCTTCTCAGCCTTCTGAGTGCTAGGATTACAGATGGAGACCACAGCACCTGACTTCTAGAGTTACAAGATTGTGTGTGGATTAATGTTAATCATGTCTTAAAAAATTCTGTGCCAGATTCTCTCGTAGCTAGCACTATTTTGATCAGGAAGGAAAACATGATACTAACCACTGTCTCTTAAGCATTTGGACCTTTACGTTTTCTCACTATTCGGGTGCTTAAGGACTCTGCTTGCAATGACTTACACAGATTGGGGCCCATCTACTGAGAGTAGTTAAAGGTAAATCGAACTGGTAGATGAGGAAAGTTCTGTGATAGAGGACAAATACCAAGACTATTCTGTAAGTTCTTAAATGCCCAAATTTATTTTCGTGTGGAACTCCACTTTTACTAAACAAAAGTGATGATATTTTCTTAAATGAAAATGAAAGTATAGGAATTGTATCCTATATCTGATAAATTCAGAAGTTTTTGTACCCTCTGTGTTCCTAGAAAAGCACATAAATTAATAACCCTGTAATTCTTAGAAAGCAGTGGCCAAATTCAACAATGAACATTTGATTGCTAATCATTTTTTTCAAATTGACTATGAACACTATTGTGTTTCAATAATAATTATTCTCACTTGTGCTAAAGTTTTAGGGACTTATATCAGTAAAACATTCTACAAGCCATTTAAACAAGTGATATTCTTAATGCTTATGTTAGTGTGTGCTTACATTTTCACTTGTTTCTACACTTTCAAAATTTGAAAGTAACTCAACTTTGAGGAAACTGTTACAGTTTTTCCAATAGTTATCTGAAGATAATGTATTAATTATCTATAGATATCCTAGTTTCTAAATATAGAGTACTTAAAACAATCTGCATTTGAAAAGGTCATACATTAAATTTTCTTCACAGCTAAAGCATATAGTTACTAACTTAGCAACACAGATTTACTCTATCATTGGATTACATGAAGTATTTCTCCTTCACACTACCTCCTTCACACAAGACAAAATGTTATTCAGGCTATTAATTTTGAAAAAGTGAACTTCTGAACCTTTATTTTTAGGGAGAATGAAGTGTAGACTTTGTCATAATGGACTATCTACATCACATCTATTATCCAGGACTAGACATGTTTCATCACTGTCTTCATCTCAGTGAAGGTTGATGAAGTGAGGTTATGGCCCCTGACCTCTCGTCTTCCTAATGAACAGACTTAATGTGTAATTTTCACTGCCAGTGCTTTGGTACAGACACTACAGTCTTAACACTACCTCTCAGATTTTGTGATCCTGAGATTCTCAGAAGTGGAATTGGTCACATACAGAGAGATTAGGTTTCCTTAGCCACTCCCAGGCTGCCTCTCAGTCATCCGTGCTGCTTTCTGCATTAGTCCCACCACTGGAAACAATGGGCTTTGTGTTCTGCCCTTCATGTTGTGAGGCTTTAATGACTGACTGAAAATACTGAATTTTTCCAAGTTCTTAAAGTCATTGAGATTCACTTGTAATTGTGGTGGTTTCATTGAAAATTGCCTAGCAATTCTTGTTGCCCACCATTAGCATGTCCTTGGCTTGAGGGTATGTCTGCTTATGCCATGCCCAGCTGTGTGTGGAAGATTTTATTTTTTTTATATTCTACATAAATATTCTATAAGAATATTTACAAATTAGTGAATGACAAGGACATTCCTATGGTTCATTCAAAGTTGTCTGTTCCTAGTCAATTTTTAATCTTGTCCTGGCAAGAAACGATCATTAGCTTAGTCATTATCTACAGTGAATTTGCCCTGTTCATCAACAGAATGTGAAAAATTGGATAACCTGAAAATGTTATGAATGCTTTGAATGAAGTTTGATGCTTTAAGTTGGTTGCGTGTGTCACTTAGTGAAGTCTGTGAACAAAATTTTCAGTGCTTTAATGAAAATGAAAACTGGGACTGGTGGGGGCCTTTCCTTATGCCTCATGTCTCATTTTGTAGCCATGTGAGTGAGTGAGTGAGCAAGCGAGCGAAATATGGATGAACAAGTGAATGCGAGCACAGTTACTGACTACCTCTTCCTCTGCACTGGGTCAGCTCCTGCCCCAAGTCTTACCAGTGTCCCTAATACTAACTAATCCTTCTTGGTATCTTGTAGATGTAGTTTTGGGCACTAAACCTGCATTTTATTGTACTGCTGCTGCTAGCTTATGCTCATCTTTTTGCCTGTGTAATTTACTTGTTTATTTTACAGTATTTTTGTGTGCTCATCTTGTTTTATGCAGAATCCGCCTTTTTGTTAACTTCCCATTCATGTCCTTTCCAAACATTTAATAGTCTTTATTTTAATTGTTGTCACTTAACAGCATGAGCCCAGGCTCTCTATTATTATCACACAAGAAATTGGGATGATGAATAATTTTTCAAATGCAGATTGTACTACTTAAAGATTAACTCTCTAAATTTGCTTAACTTGGGTTGATACCAAGTCAGAACAGTCATTCGCCTTGTATCTCATGAATGATTGGTCCCAGTACCAAAATTCAAATCACAGCTTAGAAGTGAACCAAAGCTTCAAAAATTGTTTGTGGGTTTGCATATATTGTATTATTTATACAATATATCACAACTTATCTCTGTATATTCTTATTAATAAATGGCTGGAAAGTCTTTGACCCTGACTGCATTTCTGTTAAGTGTTTGTCTAGAATATGGATTTGGTTTCATTTGTATTATAACACAATTATTATTAACAGTGATTAACTTGAGAAAATAGCAAATAAACAGCAACAATAAAAGATGTTTCTGGGTGCTCAACATTGTCACACATTGGAAGATCTGGCTTAATACTGGAAATAAAACCTCTGATGCTGTCAAGCATACAATCTCCATTTTGAAAATGAAGCTATTCCAGTTTAACTTACTTATTAAAGGCTTTTTTCTTAAACTGTTGTTCAAAGTAAAATTTTCTATTTTAAACCCTGGCTCAATATTTGATTTTATAACAAAATTCAGATTTCTAAATTTAGGCTCCATGCAAACCTAGTATTATTAACTCCTTGCATCTTGGAGCCGGACCAAACCTGTCGTTGTTAGTGATGATGGCCTATGATGTGTGCAATGAGACCGAATGCTAATCAATGCTTTGCCTTGGCTTTCTGCTTTGTGTTGTCTGGTGTTTGCGTCTTACCTCTGTGTCTGTGCTATTTGTTCCCTTCCCTGTTCTCTAATTCTGCCCTTCCCCACCTACCCCCCTGTTCCTTTCATTGTCCTCACTGACCCATCAATCAACCAACAACGCCCCCCCTTCGTCGTGGTGCTCTGCCCTGCTCTGATTGGTGGCTTCGTTGCTTGGGTGGCTGTATGTTGTGATGGACCAGTTCACCCAAGTATGGCCTTCTTGCTGACAGGTATCATTTCTGTGAGAAGTGTTTCACAGAGATCCAGGGCGAGAATGTGACCCTGGGTGACGACCCTTCCCAACCTCAGACGTAAGTACAATCTTGCCATACTTCCTTGTGTTCATGACTAAAGAAGAATTCAGAATGTGCCATTTTGAGTTGTGTGCAATTTTGTGTTTTTCACATATTAACTATACCCACATTTAATGGAAACATGGTTACATGGGTAGTACTTAAAGATGCAGGAGTCAGCCAAATAGCAACAATAGTTGTCTATTTTACTCTATTCCAGACAGGAATCATTCAGTTCTTGACCTTTGTATATTTCACTAACAAATAGCTTTCTTCATGATGATGGGTAAATCTTTACTTGAAAATTCTAACTTCAGTTACACCTAAGAAGCCAGATAGCTTCATCTACAGAAAATGAGCTTTGCATATCACCACTAACAGCACCACCCTTTAAAAAAAAAAAAAAAAAAATCAGGGCTGGAGAGGTGGCTCAGAGGTTAGAGCACTGGGTCCAGAATACCTGGGTTCTATTCCCAGCACACACATGTCAGCTCACAACTGTCTGTAACTCCAGTTCCAGGGCATCGAGCCCCTCACACAGACACACATGTAGGCAAGATACCAATGCACATAAACATAAATAAATTTTTACAAATTTACCTTTTAAAATTTCATCTTTTAAGTGACTGAGCTACTACAGGTTAGATTCCAATCCTCTATCCACATCTTTGAGTACAACTTAGAAATGCCTATCATTCCTTGTTAGTGGTCTGAGTCTTGAGCCCTAACTGAGTTCAACATGCATGTTAGTTTATTCCTGCACATTGCTGCTGTTTGTCTTCTGATGAAGTTGTAGCATAGCCAGACCACAGCAAGAGAAATGAAAATCACAGTGCGCACTTGACTAATTTATATTTGTAAAATACTCAAAGGCAAGCTTTCCTTTTCTGCACACAGAATTCCTCAGTCTTCCATGCTTCTTGTCATGTTGAAAATCTGGCCCCAGAGTTACTAGGTCTCACAGGCAAGAAGGTTGTACTCAGCAGTGATTTTCTTACCCGTGTCTAATTGGAGTTAACCATTAACTTGTAGGGCACAGGGATGGGAGAAGTCTAATCAATGAATGCTAAGGTTCAGTTAGATACCAGCAAAAGCCATGGGTTACTCTTGCACAGTATGGTGACTGTCAGTGATAACTGTACACTGTACTTTTCAAAATCTAGAAGGAAGGCTTTTGAAAGTTTTTTGTGCCCCCCTCCAAAAGGTAAGTGTTGGAGGTGGTTAGTATGTTTAGCCTAATTAAAGCATTATGCAATGTGCACAAGGACCACAACTGTGGTATCCCATTAATAGGTGCAACTTTAAGTTCTTGTGTCACTTAGACTAAAATACTAAAGATGCAGAAAAGGACCAGTGAATCTGTAGGTACAGGCACACACAAAAAAGAGTTATATAATTCCATGTATTACAATTAATTCACATATGCATGGGAAGTGGGAATCCTCGGTGGATTCTCACCTTGTGTTGAGGGTATGTTGGCATTCAGCTACGTCTTGAACAATGTCCAATTCAGTAACTATTCACCATATGAACTTGATTGAAAATAAACATTTAATTTCAACACAATTTGGCCATCATAATCTGAATTAAGTCTTTCAGTAAAGGACAACAAACATTTATTTATAGTAGTTTGGGACAGCATTTTAAGAAAAAATTGTGAGTCGATTAAATTTTTTTTTTCTTTTAAATAAGGACAATTTCCAAGGATCAGTTTGAAAAGAAGAAAAATGATACCTTAGATCCTGAACCGTGAGTATATATATTCATATGTGTAACTTTCTTTTTCTTTCTTCTCTCCCCTCCCCCCCTTTCATTTTTTTTGTTTGTTTTTGAAACAGGTTCTTTATGTGTAGACCTGGCTGTCCTAAACTCAGACACCTGCCTGCCTCTGCCTCCCAAGTGCTGGGATTAAAGGTATATCATTATACCTGGCTGTTTTTTCTTAGAGTCTTAGATGAGGAAAGTTATTGTTTGTGATTAGATTATGGCAGAATAAAAATAGGGTTTCTTACTGGAAGTTACCCAAAACTCATAATAAATTTCTCTGTAACACCTCCAGTTACTGGGTTTTAATAGTGATAAGATTAAGTGATTATAGGGCTGGAAAGATGACTCAGTGGTTAAGAGCACTGCTCTTCCAGAGGTTTCAAGTTCAATTCCCAGCAATCACATAGTGGTTCATAACCATCTATAGTGGGATCTGATGCCCTCTTCTAGCATAAAAGTGTACATGTAGATAGAGCACTCAAGTACATAAAATAAATATGTGAGTGAGCCAGGCAGTGGTGGCACACATCTGTAATCCCAGCACTTGGCAGGTGGATGTCAGGATTCAAGACCAGGCTGGTCTACAGAGTGAGTTCTAAAACAGCCAGGGCCACACAGAGAAACCTTGCCTTGAAAAGCCAAGGGGGAAAAAAAAAGATTTTTTTGGTGTTTCAGTGCCATTGGAACCTCTCTAAAGTTTGGCCATAGACATTTTTAAGGACTGTTGAGTATGATTCTATGAAGACTATAGGCACTTGCTTGAAGTGTTGATATTGTCCTAGAGAAATTCTCAAATGAAAACATTCTAAGACCCACTTTTTCAAAAATGTGTCCTGTTATATGTAGTATATGTTCTTACCACTGCCCTTGTCCGTGAGAATGCTTCACTTTCAAAGTTGATTTTTTTTAAAACTTGGGACAGGTCTGTCAGTTTTGTGTTGTTCTCTTGGCCCCAAATCTCCTAGTTCCAGAGAGATCAGCTGCTGTAATAGAAGATATTGACTTCCCAGACAGGCAACATTTGGAGATCCAGCTTTTCTCTAGGAAGGTTACTTCCTCTATCCTATCTGATACCCTGGACAGGATTGCATTAAATAATGAATGCTGGCACATATGGAGACTTCGCCCAAGGAAAATTCAGTTTTCTTTCTGATTCCACAGATGAAGCTTTTAGCATAGACACAATAGCATCACCATTGGTGTGGGCTTCCTGGAACTGGTGATTCTTATCAAAGAGCAGGTGTTGGAGAGAGGTACATAAAGGAAGGAATGAACACAAGACATGGGAATGATTGGCTAGTCAGGCTCAAGGGTAAAGGTCCACTCCCATGGGATGTAGTGGCAGGGGTGTTTAATAAATTTAACCTGTTTGACATTTATACCATTCAACTTATACTGGGTTTTTTGTTTTTTGGGGGGGGGGCAGTTTTTGTTGATTTGTTTTTGGAGGGTTTATCTGTTTTAATAACTCTGGCTGTGCTGGAACTCACTCTGTAGACCAGTCTAGCCTCAATCTCACAGAGATCCACCTGCCCCTGCCTCCCAAGTGCTGGGCACCACCACCACCCTGTTGGGTAAGTTTTGAAGAGCAGCTTTGAGTCTAGTGTAGAAAGTGCACCTCTGCAGCAGGGTGTGACGGTACTCCCCTATCCTATACTCACAACAACTGAGAAGCTGGGCACGATAGTTAACTCAAGACTGCCCTGGGTTATTTAGTGAGATCCTGTTTCTAAAAAATAACAGACAGACAGACAGAGAGAGAGAGAGAAAGAGAGAGACTGAGACTGAGACTGACCCTTAAGTGAAGAACAGGAGGTGTATGATTTCAGTCTCCAGGCTCTCTAGGAACTCCCTGGGTGATGTACGTTAAGAACCAAGGCAAGAAGTGAGGGCTGAACTAAAGCAGGACTGTTGGATGTAGAGGAAGGGCCATACTGTGAGTGGAAGTGGAATATCAAGGACATGGTTGTAGGCAGTGGATCCATCACAGCACATAATACAGATTTGACATTTCCTTCTCTGACAATGGAGGGAAAACTGATCAAGTTGTCTTTAGAGAGAGAATGGAAATTATACTGTTGGACCTTGCATCTCAGCGGAGGCTAATCAAGCTCACTTCAGAGATTGTAGGTACAGATATTGATGGGATGAACATTGGTAGAATGCAGTGCAGGCCATAAATGATCAGGAACCTCCACCATGGCTATTAATTACTAGCCAAAACAAAGTCATACTGCCTGTTTGACAATGTTACATTTACATGTGTCCTCTCTCTAAAGAGAACAGCAGCGGGGAGGCTGATTAGGACATACCATGGCTGAATGTTTGTGTAGCAGGTGTGGCAGTAGTAGTATAATGGGACAAGAAGAAGCTAGTCATTATCAAGGGCTTATCTCTCTCAGGAAACTGGGATGCTTTTTGGTGCCTTACATTTTCCTGGGATGTGGATTTAGTAACAGTGAGACAGTAAACTAAAAAGCTAAAGGTTTGACCGTTGTGTATCTTGGTATTGAGATTTCCTGTTTCAGCTGTCTCTTAGGGGTAATAAAATGCATTTGTAAGCTAAACTGAGCAGTGTGAAAGTGGTACCAGGAGACTAAGTTTGAATTCAGGGAAGCCTGTCCACTTTCTGTTAACGATGGTACCTTCCACTACCTGTCACCAACTTGAAACCTTGGGCCTGCTAGGCCTGCTTTCATCTACCTCCTTTGCTTTTTATAGCCTTAGGAGGGTAGGTTGGGGAAAATCTGAAAATTAGGAGCAAGTATTTCTAACACCAAAAATATTGTTCTATTTCCTGACCCCATTTAAGTACAGGAAAATTACATAAAGAATGGTGCATAGTAACATTATAATTACTGAACTATGGAATACGCCTTTATTATAGTATTTTTTTACTGTTTCTTGTTGTTTTTGGTGTTTTTCTTTTCTTGAGACAAGGTTTCTCTATGTAAAAGCCCTGACTGTCTTGGGACTCAATTTGTAGACCAGACTGACCTCAAACTGACAGAGATCTGCCTGCCTCTGCCTCCCAAGTGCTGGGATTAAAGGCGTGTGCCACCACCATTTAGCTTATAAACTTTAAAAAATAATATTTTAGAGGCTAGTAAGATTACTCAGTGGATAAAGGCACTTGTTGAGGAAACAGGGAAACATGATTTCATTCCCAAGAATTCAAATGAAGGTGGAGGGAGAGAAGTGACTCCACAAAGCTGGCTTCTGAGTTCAGTACATATACCTGCATTTGTACAAACACCACCACCACCACACACACACACACACACACACACACACACACACACACACACACTTGCACATTGTGTTTGGAAAGGGAAATAAGGAGAAAAGAAAATGGCACAGTGTATAAAAAAAAGGAGAGAAAATCCAGTGCAGGCTTCTAATTTTAGCACTCATGAGACCAAAGAAGGATCATGGATAATGTGTTCAAGGCCAGGCTGGACTACATGGCCAGACCTCATTTACTCAAAAAGGTGGGGGGGGGGCAGGAGTAGACTCCTATTTATTCGCCAAGAAAATTAACATGTATTTTGAATTAATCAGCACATGCATGGATGTCAGAGCTCCTAAAAACATCTCAGACAGCAGCTTGTGCCCATATACTCAAGCTTCTGCCAAAAACTGTTGATGTGTGGCTCTGGGTGTATAATTGTGCTTTCTTATATCCCAGTTTTGTTGACTGCAAAGAGTGTGGCCGGAAGATGCATCAGATTTGCGTTCTACACTATGACATCATTTGGCCTTCAGGGTGAGTGATTTGCTGTGATCTCTGGGAAGGGGGAGCAACTGTGCACAAGTCATAGGGAGGTGACTGTGGTGCTAAGTCTTGTTCGTTGTCAGCAAAATTCTGCAATTAAGGGAGGTGGCAGTTGGTTCTAAATTTAAATCTTCTGTTTGTGTGCTTTACAAATTGTAGAATCACAGCTGTCTGTCTTCTCACAATGATGTGATTTAAACTGCCAACAAAGTTTTCCAGTGTTACATTTCACTGGTTTGGCAACATTCACTGTTGAATATAATCTGATCACACCCATTATTTGTTGTACAGTTTTGTGTGCGACAACTGCTTGAAGAAAACTGGCAGACCTCGGAAAGAAAACAAATTCAGTGCTAAGAGTAAGTTTGCTAAAGATTTCTATATCCTGGATTGTGTACTTTGTGTAGTTTTTCTTCTCTGTTACCTGTTGCTGTGAGGTTTTAGTGGTCAGTGGTTTTCATATGTAAGTTTTCTTGTGCTTTTTTTCATTGGAGTAATTAGCTTGATCCTTTTATGATCCGCTCATGTTTTCAATAACAGTTTAGAAAGTAATTTTCAGAAGAAAAATCTTTAGGTGGGCGGTGGTAGCTGAGACTGGTGGATCTCTGTGAGTTCAAGGCCAACCCAAGTCTACAGAGCAAGTTACAGGACAGCCAGGACTACAGAGAGAAACCCTGTCTCAAAAAACCCAAAAAGAGAAATAAGGAAAAGTAAATTTCAGAACTGAGAACATTTTTTTTAGCAGATCCCTCTCAGTAGCTCAGAACCAAGAGCTCTGTGCAGAGAAGGTGCTGTCACAGACTTTTGGGGCTATCTCCTAAGGGCAAGGTTGGCCCTCCCACAGTGCAGGGGTAAGAATTATGAAGATTTTCCTCAGAGACTTCAGCAAGAATGGTGGTCTTACAGAGCCCTTTGTGCCTTCAGCTGTACTTGTCAGAATAGTCACTTAGCCCTGAAGACTGCTGGGCACAGAGCTCAGCTGACCAAGTTTATGAAGTGTGATGCTACTGAAGTGTAAAACAGATCGCAAATCCACACCTTACATCTTTTAACTTTACAAATCCTTATTTTTCTGTTGATTTTTTTTCCTTTGCTATTGGATTTTGTTTCTTTTTAAACCACCTTTTTAGCCATATTTTAATATACCACCAAAGCACCACTCTTGGTGTATTTATTATATAAAATTGCAATTATATAATTATATAAAAATGCAATTTACATGAATTGTAAATTCTTTAGACTTTTAAGTAGATTTACTTTTAAAAATATTAGTTTATTTTTAAATTTTTGTGTATATGTGTGTTTTTGCTTATTCATATATACATAACTGTGTTGGACACCAGGAGAGGATGTTAGATTCCCTAGAGCTAGAGTTTGAGGTGGCTGTGAATTACCTAATACTGATGCTGGTATTGAACACAGGTCCTTTGCTGGAGTAGGTGCTCCTAATCAGTGGACCATCTTTCTAGTTCCCCTCCCATTTATTTTTATAAGCAATTTTCATAAATGTAGAAAATTATAGTCAATAAAGAAGAAAACATACCTAAAATTTTATCATCTTAAGCTGGTTATGGTGGCTCATGCCTATAATCCCAGCTTTTTAGAGGCTAAAACAGAAGAATCCCCTTGAGTCCCATGCCAGCCTGGGCTACATAGTGCTAGAGACCCTGCCTTTTTACAAACAGAGGCAAGAGAGTTCATCATCTGATATGGGAGAAGGAGGCAGAGTAGAATCCTAGGTTCAGTTCCCCAGCACCACCCTTCTAAAATCCATTCATTTTTATAATCAGTGAATCTTTTATAGCTCTCACATGCTAGTCCTCTTTCCCTGGAAAGCAATTCTTTATATTGATGTTTATTCCTGGTAGTCACAGTGGTCACCTGGGCTCTCTCTTGTGCTATGACAGGAGCTAGCACAGAACAGGCCACATGAGTTTGCCTGAGGCTAATTGCCTGCTCTGCCTCCCAGGTGAGCACTGTACTCAGAAGGCAGCAAGCAGTCCTTGGCTGATGCTTGATGATTTGGCCCTTGGACTCCAACTGCAACTGAGCTAGGTGGAAGGAAACCTAGTCATTGATTGGGCCAAGGGTGTACCATGTTCCTTGCTGCTATTAGAGTTCCTCAAGTGTCGTTCGGGAGCAATAAGCAGTCTGCCTGTTGGCATCATTGAGATAGCCCTCCACACAGGAGACTTCTTTCTGCTCAGCATAGCTCCAGGGCAGGGCTAGTCCCACAGACTGGCATTCAGCTGCCCAAGACTGAGGTGAAGGGCAAGAAGAAGCACAGTGTCCTCAGTCCTGTCAGATTCAGGCCATCTTTATCTATCCTGTCCCTTACTGGGAAAGGAACAAAAACATGTGAACAGGTAAATAGCCAACAAATAGCAAAGTGCCTAAGGCACATAAAATAAAAAATAAATATTTTTAAAAACAGAAGGAAGAAAAAAACAAAATAGCAGAGTGAAGCAGAAGCCGCAACAGCTCTGTCTAATCCTGTTCATTCTGAACTTTTTAGGGCTTCAGACCACACGATTGGGAAACCACTTAGAAGACCGAGTGAACAAGTTTCTGCGGCGCCAGAATCACCCTGAAGCTGGGGAGGTTTTTGTCAGAGTGGTGGCCAGCTCAGACAAGACTGTGGAGGTCAAGCCAGGGATGAAGTCAAGGTTTGTCATCTTTCTTCCTGCCCTAAACTATGGAGTAATTCCTACTCCTGTCTCTGTAGGGCTTCAAGTGTTGTCCTTAATGCAGAGGCTTCTGTTAACTAGCACGAGACCTTCTTTTCTGAATCCCAGTTCATTATCAGAGATGGCTCTCTTGCCTAAGAAACAGAATCAAGAAGAGCTACAACACAGCCCTGCAACTGCTCTGGTTGTTGTTGCCTTGAGCAGTCTACACAGAACAGGCTTTGTTTTCTGTTTCAGGTTTGTGGATTCTGGAGAAATGTCAGAATCTTTCCCATATCGAACCAAAGCACTCTTTGCTTTCGAGGAGATTGACGGAGTCGATGTATGTTTTTTTGGGATGCATGTGCAAGAGTATGGCTCTGATTGCCCCCCACCAAATACAAGGTAGTCTTCTCTCTTACTTCCAAATGTGTCTTTTAGTCCCGTGTTGGATGTTAGCAGACTGAAGCTCAGGTGTCTTAGAGCTTTGTACTTGGGTAATGAATGAAAATGGTCACAGTTACCTGACTAAACCAATTTTGTTTTCCTGTAAACGATCAGGAAACAAAGAGTCTTGGTGGTAGTGTGACATGCTTATATATGGCCCTAGTTTTGTTTTGGCTCATCAAGATGGTCCCTGGGGAGTCAAGGCAGCAACAGCTGGACACCTCTATTCAAACCAGGCATCTCCAGTTAGTTTGTTTAGTCTGAATTTTGAGTGAGAGGGGAAAAGAAGTGGCTTCTCCCAAGTTGCTCCCCTGGGGAAAGTTTCATTTCCTTTATTGGACAGTTGAAAATTATTTATTTTCTTAGTTTTCAGCTGGAACTGTGATGAAGGCTGTTTCACATCCTGCTAGGTGGCCTGTGTGACTGCTGTTTAAACCTGTTTCTGGGGGCTTTTAGATGTTAGTGTTTGTTTTCAAGTTTGAGGCATACCCTGAATGAAAAAGACAAATGACACCCCGCCCACCCACCCCTGCAGGCGTGTGTACATATCATATCTGGACAGTATTCATTTCTTCCGGCCCCGCTGCCTCCGGACAGCTGTTTACCATGAGATCCTCATTGGATATCTAGAGTATGTGAAGAAATTGGGGTGAGTCTCAATTATTCAGAATCAATTAAAACATTTTGTCTATTTTGTGAAATAATGAGCTTTTCCTTATTTAGTTTTATGTGTTTTTTATTCTAATATATTGAGATTGGTTCAGAAGTCTGCTGAGCCTCCTACATTTCTGACCCTAAAGAATAGTGTCTAACTTTTGCCTTAGCTTGCTTTTTGTTTTCTTTTCACTTTATTGAGGCAAAATCTACATAACATGTTTTGCCTATTTGAGGTTTGGGAGTCAGTGGTTTTTAACATTATGGACTGGTGCAACCATTACCATAAGTCAGTTTCTAAACACTTTCACCCCTTTCCCGGAGCCCTGTCCTGCCCTGCCCTCAGGCAGACACTAATCTCCTTTCTGTATACATTTGTCTTTGTTGGTCTTTTCATTGGAATTCACTGATTGAACACACACTGTGTGTCTTTTTTCTTTGTTACTATGTGCTAACATACCACACCTCTCACATTGTTTCCCCAAACCTAAAAAATTTTGCTGAAATGTCTTGATCAGAGTAAATAAGATTATTTGATATGAATCCTCTAAAGAGAATTACTTGCTGCCTTTCCAGTGCCTTTCCAGTGCTTCACATCCCTATACTGGAAGGCTCAGCTCTGTGTGTGCTTCTGAGAATAAAGTACTCAATGCCAAATCTAGGGTTCAGTTTGTAAATGATGAAGATAATGCTTGTTCTGACTCTGTCTCTCTCTCTCTCTCCCCCTCTTCCCCTCTTCCCCTCCCTCCCCCACACCCCATTCACATACTATGTTGGAGCCCATGTATTTTCTAAGACCTATACAAGCATTATAGTCATTTCTTTAATTTTCATTTTCCCTCATTTTAATTTCTGCCCTTGCTTTAGTTCCTATTCTTAAGCTGCAATTGTCTCACAAGTAGATCAGAGATCCCTAACACTTCTGTCTGGCTTGTTTCATATGTGTCTTATAGGTATGTGACAGGACACATCTGGGCCTGTCCCCCAAGTGAAGGAGATGACTACATTTTTCATTGCCACCCCCCTGATCAGAAAATCCCCAAACCCAAACGACTACAGGAGTGGTACAAGAAGATGTTGGACAAGGCATTTGCAGAGAGGATCATTAATGACTATAAGGTACTCCTGTTGGAGAAAGGTGTTGGATTTGTTGCAGCTGATTAACATGTTTTGTGTATTTTCCTCTGGCACTCATGTGCTTTATGACTATGATCAATTACAAGAAATAGAAACCAGAACCTAAAGCATCTGATGAAACTGCAGAGACAGCTGTTCAATTGGTCAGAGCAGTGGGCCTTTCAGTCAGTTGATACCTGGTTTGTGTGTGAGATCCCCAATAGCACACGGGGCTTTCACCTCACCTCTGTTCTTCTTCCTCCTAGGACATCTTCAAACAAGCAAATGAAGACAGGCTCACGAGTGCCAAGGAATTGCCCTATTTTGAGGGAGATTTCTGGCCTAATGTGTTGGAAGAAAGCATCAAGGAACTAGAACAAGAAGAAGAAGAGAGGAAAAAAGAAGAAAGTACTGCTGCTAGTGAAACCCCTGAGGTACTGCTCCCACTAGAGCTGTGTCACAGAGTGGCAGGCCTGAAAGTATACATTTGCTGTTGGGTTCTTTCTGTGGATGTTCACATGCACACACATGGGGGGTCGCCATCAATAGCAATAAGCAGGTGTAGGGTCTCTATATAAGAGATATTCCCTATGGGGCCTGGTGGTTAGACCTGGGGAGTAGAGGGAAGATGGTGCTTTGTCAGAGCTAGGACAGTACATGGAGATGGATGGAACTTCTCCGGGAATCTGAAGTTCCAGGCCTTGTAGTGTGCATTGTGGCAACTACTCATTTTGTGTTTTTTGTTTGTTTTGTTTTTGCTCTCAATCTGTACACTGTTTATTATCCCTGTGTTCCAGGGAGTGCAGAGTAAACTAAACAAGACCTTGTCCCTGCCCCAAGTGGTGTTTTTATACTAGGAGAAACAGGAAGTACCTGGATAGATGTATGATGTGTTTTCAGGTGGTGGGGCAACTCTGAGAAGAAAGGAGTTTAAGGTAAAGAAGACAGCAGGAGGTCTGAGGGTTGCTTTGGAAACAGTGACATAGGAACCGGGAATCCCACTTGAGTTACAGGGGATGGAGTCTTCCAGGACAAGGAGGAAATAAATATGTTGTGCTGAAGATCACAAGGCACCGTGTGATTGCCAGGTAGAACTGGCAATGGCATATATTGGTTGTAGTTATAGGCTTGCTCGATGTGTGCAGTGACTTCTGTGGAGAGTGTTTGTGACATGTGGGAAATCATGAGTTAAGGTTGTCTTGTGTGAAGGTGGAACTCACTTTGGTGAGGGAGAAGCAAAGAGTGGGCTACAGTGCTCCGAAGGAAGTGGTCGAGATTGGGCCACAATGGGGCTAGATAGAGGTGCTGGCAGCATGTGGTGACTCCTGAAGCCTTGCATCAGCCTCCATGCTCAGTGCACACATAATTTGTTGAATGGTTACAATGTGCCAAGCACTGTGCAAGTTGAGCTATGTCTCAAAAAGATGGCCTTAGTAGAGAAAATGCAGACCAGGGTGAAACAGAAGCTTGTGTCCTGGTGGTTCCCAAAAATTCCCCAATTGTCTCTATTGTCTGACTTTTTCTCACTGGAACCTCTAGAAGTTGGTCCATCCTTTGACCTTCTCAGGAACTGGCTGGTCCTCAGCAAGGTTCAATTTCTTACCTCCCTTCAAAACAGTTATGTCCCATGAAAACTGGAGAAGGGGGGCCATATTCAAAGTGGCTGGCTCAGAGTACATTGCAGTGGAGACCAAGTGACCAGGAGGCCACTGGGCAAGCCAGGCCCTAGAGCAAAGGGGGCCTGACCAAAACCATTTGTCTGGGCTTATAAAGGACAGCAGTGGTGGCATCATTTGAGGAAGTGGAATGTGGGCCAGCTGTGAGTCACTGGTGCACAGCACAGCAGTACTATGGGACAAGGATGTTTTCTTGGTCAGATCTGATTAGCGTTTCTATGTTGTATTCTAAATGGGTAACACCCCAAGTACTTTTCATAGTAGGGTCATTGGAGCACTTGAATTGGGGAGTGTATCCCTTTTAGACCTCAGCCAAGTAGTAATGAAAAGTAGAAACAGGTTTCAAGGCAAACTTGGTTATGTTCTACCTAGGGCAAGTGTTGAGTGGAACCTGGAAAGTCAGTTGGGTTTGCATGTTCTGGTGCTGCCCACCATTTGAAACTTCCCTGAGTCTTGAAAATGCATACAGGTGAACAGGCCTTCCCAAAGCAAAGAAGCAGTTACTGAGTGTATAGGATGGAACAACATGGCACTCCTGTCTAGGGAATTATGAGGAGTAGAAAGAAAACTTCCTCTTAGAATCTAAGTTTCTGAATTAACATCCTGAAGAAGTAACAGGGCATATAGGCGCCGGTCAGGCTTGGAGGATTCCATTCTTTTATCCCCTCTGGTGGCAGCATGTAGCCCAGGTGCATATGGGGTTTCTGGAGCCCCCACAGCCTAGGAAATGGATGTTGTTGTGACAGTTTTGTATGTGGTTACAGGGTAGTCAAGGTGACAGCAAGAATGCCAAGAAAAAGAACAATAAGAAGACCAACAAAAACAAAAGCAGCATTAGCCGCGCCAACAAGAAGAAGCCCAGCATGCCCAATGTGTCCAACGACCTGTCCCAGAAGCTGTATGCCACCATGGAGAAACATAAGGAGGTAGTGGCATAGCCTTGTGCAAGGTTCTGGGCATATGCAGAACCCAGAGGAACAGAAGGCACCTATACAAATCTTTGATAGAAGGGGGGCTACCTCTGTAGAAGGTGGGACAGTAGTTTGTTAATATATTGTTCTGCTTGTCATCAGTTATGCTCCATCCCAGGAAACCGTGGCCTCAAGCAGGTCCTGGGTATGGCTAGCCTCCTATTACACTGGAAGATGTGGCCCAGCACTTGGCACATGCTATCTTTCTGTGGTATTAATGCATCTCCTCCTTTCAGGTCTTCTTTGTGATTCATCTGCATGCTGGGCCTGTTATCAGCACTCAACCCCCCATTGTGGACCCTGACCCCCTGCTCAGCTGTGACCTCATGGATGGTCGTGATGCCTTTCTCACCCTGGCCAGAGACAAGCACTGGGAGTTCTCTTCCTTACGCCGCTCCAAATGGTCCACTCTGTGCATGCTGGTTGAACTGCACACACAGGGCCAGGACCGCTTTGTCTACACCTGCAACGAGTGCAAACACCATGTAGAGACACGCTGGCACTGCACTGTATGTGAGGTAAGCCCCGCCACCTCCCTCCTGACCTTCCCACATAGGTAGTATTCCAGCATTGTCCTCTGCAGTATTGGAATGGATGCAGGTGCTGACATCTGTGCACAACGTTGTTTGTACTATCCCAGCATGGGCAACCTGGCGTGAGTGGCACCCTTGTTGTCCTCTTGTCTGCCACAGCTACAGGCCATGTGCTGAGGCAGCCTGACTGTAGAAAGACACTCTGAGACACTTTGCTTCTACAGGGATCCTGGTGTATTTATCTCTTCCTAGCCATGCTAAGGGATTAGGGACACCTCTTGGCCCTACTTGCAGGTTGGCACCTTTGATCAGGTCCAATTGCATGATCACAGCACGTGATTAGAAGACTTGGTGGTCATATAAACCACTAGCAGGCCCACTGTATTCTGCCCCGTGGGTAGCTTGTTTTCAGCCATGTAGAGCTTGTCTTTGGCAGGACAAAGGCTGCCTAGCCCTTCCTTCCTTGCTTTCTCCAGGCTTCTCTGTCCTGAGTATAGGATTTTATGTCTGCTTTCTTTGAGCACAATTTCTAGACCCAATTTTGTGTGTGGATATGGGTGTATGTCTGTATGGAAACTATGTATGTGTACAGAGGCCAGAGTCAAATTGCTCTGTTACTCTTTACTTCATTTCCTTAGAAAAGATCTGTCGCAGAACCTGAGCTAGGCTGCTGACCAGCAAGCCCCAGCAGTCCTCTTACCTCCTTCCTGTCTTGCACTGCAGTTACAAGCCCTGGATTTTTGTGTGAATGCTGAGGATCCCAGACTCGGGTTCTCATATTTGACCATCCAATCCTCTTACCCACTGACCTATCTTCCAAGCCCCCATCCTTCCTCAGATTTAATGCTTCCTTTTTAGTTTCTAAATTCAAGTATCTCTGAGGCATTTGGACTTGTGTGGGGGAAGGATCATTTGATTCCTTCCAGGGATAGTGTCTCACATCCTCTGGTAGTACTTGGACGAAATGGTCATGGTATTCTTAGTTCTTGCTGTTAAGTCTCAAGGTAAGGTCTTGATGCTTTTTACAAAGCACATGAAACAAAGAAGGAGGGGGACCATTAATAACTGCTCAAGTCTTGAGCCTATACTATGCCCCATGCCCAAGGGTGTCTGCTCATGCTGGGCCTATGCTGATGCTGGTCTGTCCCTTTTGCTTCTCTTCAGGACTACGACCTTTGTATCAATTGCTACAACACAAAGAGCCACACCCATAAAATGGTGAAGTGGGGCCTGGGCCTAGACGATGAGGGCAGCAGTCAAGGTGAGCCACAGTCCAAGAGCCCCCAGGAGTCCCGGCGTCTCAGCATCCAACGCTGCATCCAGTCCCTGGTTCATGCATGCCAGTGTCGCAATGCCAACTGCTCTCTACCATCTTGCCAGAAGATGAAACGAGTAGTGCAGCACACCAAGGGTTGTAAGCGCAAGACTAATGGAGGATGCCCCGTATGCAAGCAGCTCATTGCTCTTTGCTGCTACCACGCCAAACACTGCCAAGAAAATAAATGCCCTGTGCCCTTCTGCCTCAACATCAAACACAAGCTCCGCCAGCAGCAGATCCAGCATCGCCTGCAGCAGGCCCAGCTCATGCGCCGGCGAATGGCCACCATGAACACCCGCAATGTGCCTCAGCAGAGTTTGCCTTCTCCTACCTCAGCACCACCTGGGACCCCCACACAGCAGCCCAGCACACCCCAAACACCACAGCCCCCTGCCCAGCCTCAGCCTTCACCAGCTGGCTTCCCTAATGTAGCCCGGACTCAGCCCCCCACAATAGTGTCTGCTGGGAAGCCTACCAACCAGGTGCCAGCTCCCCCACCTCCTGCCCAGCCCCCACCTGCGGCAGTAGAAGCAGCAAGGCAAATTGAACGTGAAGCCCAGCAGCAGCAGCACCTGTACCGAGCAAATATCAACAATGGCATGCCCCCAGGGCGTGCAGGTATGGGAACCCCAGGGAGCCAGATGGCCCCTGTGGGACTGAATGTGCCCCGTCCCAACCAAGTCAGTGGGCCTGTCATGTCTAGCATGCCACCTGGGCAGTGGCAGCAGGCACCCATCCCTCAGCAGCAGCCGATGCCAGGCATGCCCAGGCCTGTAATGTCTATGCAGGCCCAGGCAGCCGTGGCTGGGCCACGGATGCCCAATGTCCAGCCACCAAGGAGCATCTCGCCAAGTGCCCTGCAAGACCTGCTTCGGACCCTGAAGTCACCCAGCTCCCCTCAGCAGCAGCAGCAGGTGCTGAACATCCTCAAATCCAACCCACAGCTAATGGCAGCTTTCATTAAACAGCGCACAGCCAAGTATGTGGCCAACCAGCCTGGCATGCAACCCCAGCCTGGACTTCAGTCCCAGCCTGGTATGCAGCCCCAGCCCGGTATGCACCAGCAGCCCAGCCTGCAGAACCTGAATGCAATGCAAGCTGGTGTGCCACGGCCTGGTGTGCCCCCACAGCAACAGACAATGGGAGGCCTGAACCCCCAGGGACAGGCTCTGAACATCATGAACCCTGGACACAACCCCAACATGGCAAACATGAATCCACAATACCGAGAAATGGTTAGGAGACAGCTGCTACAGCACCAACAGCAGCAGCAGCAACAACAGCAACAACAACAGCAACAACAAAGCAGTGCCAGCATGGCTGGGGGCATGGCGGGACATGGCCAATTCCAGCAGCCACAAGGACCTGGAGGCTACGCCCCAGCCATGCAGCAGCAGCGTATGCAACAGCACCTCCCCATCCAGGGTAGCTCCATGGGCCAGATGGCTGCTCCAATGGGACAACTGGGCCAAATGGGGCAGCCTGGGCTGGGGGCAGACAGCACCCCCAACATTCAGCAGGCCCTGCAGCAGCGGATTCTGCAGCAGCAGCAGATGAAGCAGCAGATTGGGTCCCCAGGCCAGCCGAACCCCATGAGCCCCCAGCAGCACATGCTCTCAGGACAGCCACAGGCCTCGCATCTCCCCGGCCAGCAGATCGCCACTTCCCTTAGTAACCAGGTGCGGTCTCCAGCCCCTGTCCAGTCTCCTCGGCCCCAATCCCAGCCTCCACATTCCAGCCCATCACCACGGATACAGCCCCAGCCTTCACCACACCATGTCTCCCCCCAGACTGGTTCCCCCCACCCCGGACTCGCAGTCACCATGGCCAGCTCCATGGATCAGGGACACCTGGGGAACCCTGAACAGAGTGCAATGCTCCCCCAGCTGAATACCCCCAACAGGAGCGCACTGTCCAGTGAACTGTCCCTGGTTGGTGATACCACGGGAGACACACTAGAAAAATTTGTGGAGGGTTTGTAGCATTATGAGAGCATTGGGTGTTTGGTTTATTGTTTTGGGAATTTTATTTTATTATTTTTGGGGGTTTTTTTGTTTTTGGTTTTTTTTTGTTTTGTTTTGTTTTTTTTTTTTTTTTGTTTTGTTTTTTTGTTTTGTTTTGTTTTTCCCCCTCCCCTTTCATGTTCTTGGACTTTTTGTACTGAAAATCCAGGCGTCTGGGCTCTTTTTATTATGCCTAGATGGACTGTGACTCCCAAGCATGGAAGGGTGGATTGATGTCTAAAGAAACAATACAAAGAATATATTTTTTTGTTAAAAACCAGTTGATTTAAATATCTGGTCAGTCTCTCTCTCTCTCTCTGCTTTTTCTCTTTTTTTTTTTTTTTTTTTGGTTTTTGGGGGTGGGGGTGTTTGGATTCTTTTTGTCGTCATTGCTGGTGATTCATGCCTTTTTTAATGGGAAAAACAAGTTCATTATATTCATATTTTTTATTTGTATTTTCAAGACTTAAACATTTATGTTTAAAAGTGAAAAGAAAAATAATACTCAGAAACTGGTTCCAGAAATAATGCATCTTATAATGTGTCCCGATAACGAGCTGATGTTGCGGGAAGATTTTTTTCTATAGTGAACTCTGTGGGCATCTCCAAGTATTACCCCTGGACGATAGGAATTGACTCCGGCGTGCACACATGTACACACCCACACACATTTATCTATACATGCTGGCTTAAGCCAACCTCTTGTCTTGCAGATGTAGAAATTGTTGCTTTGTTTCTCTGATAAAACTGGTTTTAGACAAAAATAGGGATGATCACTCTCTTAGACCATGCTAATGTTAATAGAGAAGAAGCATTCTTTTCTTTCTTCTATGTGAAACTTGAAATGAGGAAAAGCAATTCTAGTGTAAATCATGCAAGCGCTATAATTACTATAAATAAGAAAATTCAAGAAGATTCAATCACTGTATAGAATGGTAACGTACCAACTCATTTCTTATATCATATTGTTAAATAAACTGTGTGCAACAGACAAAAAGGGTGGTCCTTCTTGAATTCATGTACATGGTATTAACACTTAGTGTTCGGGGGTTTTTTTTGTTATGAAAATGCTGTTTTCAACATTGTATTTGGACTATGCATGTGTTTTTTTCCCCATTGTATATAAAGTATCGCTTAAAATTGATATAAATTACTGAAGTTTTTAACATGTATTCTGTTCTTTAAGATCCCTGTAAGAATGTTTAAGGTTTTTATTTATTTATATATATTTTTGGAGTCTGTTCTTTGTAAGACATGGTTCTGATTGTTTGCTCAGAGTGGAGAGGTCGGGGCTGCAGTCATAGCTGCAGTGTGGGTGGCAGCTGGGAAGTGTCCCAGGCTCGTGGCCACCGATGGGTGGTGAGGAGCCCCTGTGCAGAGTGAGGAGGCAGCTCAGCATCGCCTTCGTAGTCGGTACTCACAGGTGAATGTCACCCATGCCAGGAGGGACAGTCACCACTGGGTGAGAAACAGCACTTTGCCTCCAGCCCACTCTTTGTCCTCCTTGTTGGCCAGCTGCCCCTGTGGGGAGGGCTCCTCCCCCCTTTTCAGATAGCCCCCCTTTCTCTACCCAGATCCCACAATCAATGCAAAGGGTGCTCCAGGGACTTGAGGTGGTTCCTGACCTCCCCTCCCCAAAAGTCCATCAGGGAGGTTACCACCATCAACCTGCCCCATGTGGCCTCATTAGGGTTTTGCAAGCCTTGTGCCACCCTGGGGGCTGCTACTTCATGGTCTTACCCACTCATGAAGTCCAGTTACAGGTGCCCTTCCTGAGCAGGGGATGGTAGCTCCTGAATACTATAAATGTCACATCTAAGAGGAAGGCCACTGACGGGAACTAAAACCCTAGCCTACTGCTCCCAGGGAACTTTTTTTTTTTTTTTAAATACCTGTCTTCCAACAAAAAGTGAACTACATGGGGGTGGGGGCAGCTAAATTTAGAAATCATGACCCAAATAGCCTTCCTTTTGGCCTTTGAGTTCACAGACATATTTTCAAAATTCTTGATACTTGGAAATCTAAATTTGAGGAAGCCTTTCAAGATTAGAGTTTTGAATGTAGAATTTTGAATCTTGGATTTTAATACTGTGGATAAGACCAGGTAAGGAATAGACCATCATCTAACATCCCCAACTAAGCCCTGCCCCAAGTCCTCCAGAGGTGATGCTCTGTCCTTGCCCAGCTTGATGGGTCCTTGTACATTCTAGGCTCTCTTCAGAATTCCTTTGCTGCCAATTGGGAAGCCCCAAGCTGTGTGTTCAAACAAGAGGAGGAACTGGGGCCTCAGAAGAGCTGCTCAGCCCCACTCCGAAGGTGGCACTTGGCAATGTGCAGCCTTTTCATGTGGGCAATGGGGACATCCTTTTCAGTTATCCTGAAGTTCAAAGCTATGTACCAACCTTCTTGGAGTCTGCATCCTGTACAGTTGTCTATCTGGATGTCGAAGGATGTGGCTGAGGGTGTGGGCTGTGAACAATATCCCTAAGTTTGTCCTAAGGGAATCTCTGTAAGAGCTGGAGTGCCCAGACACTGTGTCTCATGCTGTATACTTAAGAGGAGAAGAAAAAAAAAAAAGTCCTATATTTGTGATCAAAAAGAGGGAACTTGAAATGTGCTGGTGTTTATAATAAAAGCTGGTAAAACTGCTTGGATTCAAAGGTGGTTCCGATTGGCTAATGATCCCCTTAGCCCTATTTGTTCAGCTGCTGATCACTAAACAGCTGAAGCTGTCTGGTGTCAACCCTGCATGCATTTGAGGCTCTTAGAAACTCAAGTCTTTAAGAACTGGATATTAGGTCCACAGGTTGTTTTGCACTATTGGGGTGAAGACATGTAACTTCCTTTTGATTTCTGTTAGATGGGACCAGTTGGGCATGGTAACCCATGCCTTTAACCCAGAAGAGCTGGAGCTGGAAGAATCTGGAAGACTTCAAACCCTAAGATCCACATAGGGAATTAAAGAACAGCTAGGGCTATGCAGTGAGAGACCCGTCTCAAAGGGGGGGAGGGGGCAAAGGTTGCATTTGAGTCAACATTAAGTTTTAGTGCTCCATGACAAAAAGTTTCTCATTAAAGTGATTTGTGTTGGTAGCCACTGTGATGCCAGGAAATACAATACAGGATAGTGTATTGGGAAGCAGTTTTGTGTCCAGACACTGTAGCCTGGAGAATGTAGGAATAAATCTGCCCATCTGGGACAGATGATACACAAGAGCCTGGTGGGTATTGGGCCTTTTGTTCATGTTTAATTCTGTTCTGAATAGTAGGTGCAAGGTGCAGAAACCAAACTAAAAAGTAGACCCTCAAGGAGTTTTGGTGAATGGGTCTGCAGCTGATCTAAATTGCCTAAAACAGTGCTTTCATTGTGCTCCCATCGGTTTACAGAGGATTTGTTAGAAATCTTTTTTCACTTTTCAGAGGGAGTCAGGTGAGCCTAGTATCCACAGAATTGAGCCCCTTGGTGCACCACACTCTGTCCATTCTACAAAATTCCTACTGGAGGCTTGAAAATGAGATGGCCATTAAGGCCTTTCATCTTGTATTCCGTGCCTCCTGTCACAAGGAAACCTGCAGGCTGACATTTTCAATACATGTAGGTTAACTGAAATGCAGGTAAAAGGGTCCTTGGGGAAGAATGATATGGAGAGTTCCAAGCTTGAGTGAGAATATGAACACAAGGTCCTTGAAAGTCTGCTGTGTGCAAAGGGGGACCAAAGAATTGTTCTGACATCTCATGGGTATTTTCTGTTGCCAGAATTCTTATCTCTGATAATGCCTAGAATACCTCATCTTGGTACAGATATGAGCCACTAAGACAAGAAAACTTCCCATGCTCCTTCCTGGTATGGGCATTAAAAGAAGTTACTAAAAGTCCCAAAGCTGGGAAGTGGAACCAGGCAGGACAAGGGGCAATTGTCAAGAGGTCTGAAGTGGACCACTGTTAGGCAACCACTGTAGTTTGGGCTAGAGTGTACAGAAGGCCCTCAAAGTTTGTGGGAAGTCATTTCCTGTTGTTCCTGGCCCTTGGTAGGTACATAGGTCCAAACTTTGGTTTCCTGGGAACAGACAGGAGGGTCTAGGGTTGGTTTACCTGGAATGTAGGTGGTTTACTATTGACAGAACCTACATCTGCATCCTTAACCAAAGCCCAGCTTTCCCTTTCTTTGGCAAATGTCACTTCATCTTTCTAAACGTTCAGCCAGATCCATAGATCATTCTGTCAGCTCTGACAAGAAGATTTCAAAATGGAGAGTTACAGCTCCTCGTTAGTATATGGTTAGTATCCCCGCCTGTCAAAATGGAGAAGTAAAGGAATGAAACATGAGGCATCTCCATTCCTCTAGGAGTCATATCCAGGAAAGATATTCTGTGTGGTGACATGACCGGGACTGAGGCAGGGGAGGGGAGGTGATGTCTGTGGGGGCAGAGGCACAGGCGAGAAACCAATTGGAAGGATCGAGGAAAGGACATGGTAGGACTCTAATGAGGAAGGGTGGGGTTGGTTGTGAAGGATATGCCCCTCCCCCCCCCGAGGTACAGAACTGGCTGGGGAGAGAGGATAGGCGTTAGGCATCCAGGTGCCCAATGAAATGTGTTTTCCTCCTTACCTTACATTTTTAAACAGGGCCTTTTCACTGAAATTGGGGCTAACAGATTTAGGTAGATGAGTATCAACTCATCCCGAGGATTCTTTCTCTTCTTTCTCCCTAGCACTGAGATTACAGACACATATTGCCCTGTCATTTTCCTTCGGACGTCAGGGGATCAAGTACTTATAGACTTAGTCATCTCTGGCCTCACAGAACTGCCCATTTTTCTATTTTCCATCTATAAAGTCAGAATGTAGGAACTATCCTTGACACATTTGACCTAGAAGCATTACTGAACATGCCCTCTGTCAACATTTCAAGTCCATCCGGGGTCCATGAGGTAATTGCACCTGACCTTCTGTTTTGTTTTGTTTTGCAGCACCATTTATACATCTTAAACTGTTTTTGTGTGGAGTGTTCCTGCAGTTGGGATTGGTGTCTGGTAGCAAGCTAAGCAACCACATTAACATTTTTGTAAAAT